TGTAAGCGCTACATAGATAATGTCGCACTCCTGCCCCTGAAACGAATCTATGGTGTTAACTACTATTTCGGCTCCAAATCCTTTATAGGCGTTTTGAGACTTCTCGACTAGACAGCGTATAACGTTGGCCTGTGCCTTGTAGATACATATGATCCCGATAGTGATCTTGGCGACCTCTACAGGCTGTCGCGTCTCTACCTTTTCTGTGTTTTTCGTCACGGCAGCATAAGAGATTGACTTAGTCACAGTATTAGTCAAGAGGACTTGATTCTGCCTGGATTGCAATAACACCTTGAATACATGGGCAACAATGTATCTAGCCTCGTCGATATTCACCACGCTCGTTGTCGTGATTGTCGATTGTGCCATCTGAGATCCCAGGAACATAACGTGCATAATAGGTGCTAGTGCTGTAACAGCTCTCCTGCTTTGAATCGACGCATCGGAGGTCAATCTGTTATCGTAGAAGGTTCGAGACACGAAATTGCAGATGTCTTGATGCATGCGATATTGCACATCGAGGAGTGTAGAATGGCACAGCCGGTATGTCTGGAGGCGCTCCATGAGGCTGCGGTCCATCATCTCGCGCTTGCCTCGGTTGGACGCACAATATCCTCGAAGCTGCTTTGGGTCTCCAACCAAAATTAGGCGGCGAAAGTACGAATCAACACACATTAGTGCAGCCACATCTGGCTCTAGCGCCTGCGCTGCCTCATCGACAACGATATACGCTAGTCTTTCCAGGCGTCTCTTAAAAGTCAACGATATCCCAATATTAATCGTGCAAAATACGACAGACGCTTCGTCGAGAAGAGCTTGCTTCACCCACCCGTAAATAGGTATGGTTTTAGAGCGTGGCGACGAGCCGGTATGCTGATCAACACTGCAAAGTTCGAGCAACGACTCAAGCTCGACGGGTTCAAAAAAGAGCTCTAGTTCGTTGCGCATTCCTGAAACAAGACGTTTCACCTGAGTCAAATCGGTAGACGGCAGCGCAGAATCGCTGATCGCAGCCTCCATAGACATAAGAAGCTTACAGGCTTTCGGAGGCAGTAGCTTGATTAAACCACTTTCCATACACTTCCTGAAATCGGAGGCCACAATACTCCTAACTTCATTTCTTGTCGTGCTCCCGTGACACGCGGTGGGGGTACGCCCAAAGACGCGTATGATGGTATGCAACACAGCATTGACAACTTGGTGATATCGGGCGGTAATTGTAAATGGCTCAAGCACAGCTCTCTTGCGGCTATCGGTTATCTTGGGTGGCCTCATATCCATAACACACTTAAAATTGGCAGGCTTTTTAGTGGTAACATACTTAAACGCAAGATCCGCCACAGCAACGTTCGTCTGTGCACACGCCAGAACCTGCATTCCTGTGTTACCTCGGTCATGAGAGGTAAGTAAATGGATCATTTCAGCGATAGTCGTCGATTTACCGCATCCAGGAGGACCCTGGATCAGCACCACCTTGTCCCCATCTTCCTGGATTGCCCTTGATATCGCAACTTTTTGCGATTGATTCATCGACTCGGGCACACCATCTGGAATGTCTACAGTATCGTCTGTAAGGGGGCTAATGTCTGTCACAGGAGCTTTTAAAAATAGCTTTGGTATCGACCTCATCGCATCCTTATCGGAAAGGCTATTCACAACACGCTCGTAGGATGTAAGGTTTCCAATCGTCCACATTAACACGTCAATATCTTGGGAAGAAGATATTTGCGCGTCAAATGTAAAAAAATATCTACGGAGGCCGCTTTGTGGGATCTTGGAAATATGGCTCACGTAACCGATGTACCGCTCGGGGTCTGTCTCGTCGCCAAAACTCTTAGTGATTGCAGCTATGACAATGTCTTTATAGTTGTACATCTCCGGCTCCCCGGTAAGAACCCAGTCCTCTGCGTCAGGCCCGTCAACCTCGCCACTGTCTCCATTTGGTTTTCCATCATCTTCATTCAGTTCGTCATCGATGGGACCCCGAACGGCGTTATTTTTTACGCGTTTGAGTTGGCGGATATCGTGGTCGTCTGGAATCTTGCCAAACAGCGCCTTTGCTGCTTCGATCTGAAATTCGTACGAGCACATGTCTACTAGCCTTTCGGTATACAGGTCAACAGATTCATACCCATATTCTTCAAATGTGTCTATCGTGCCTTTCCTCAAGTTGATCTTCTGGTCCTTCTCATGTAAAATTCGCAACTTTTGGGTGTCGTATAGTAAATCCATCGAAAACGCGCAAGACCTCGGAGGTTCTTTTTTTCTATTTGGTTTTTATCCCCAAAAAAAAAAGAGAGAAAAGAAAGAAATGGTTAATAACAGTACATCATCGAACATCATATTTTGTGCCATAAATCGAAATAAAGTTGAGCCGCTTTTAAAGCAAGGTCGACATAGAAAAAGTGTGCGCCAGTTAGAACCCAGATCGACTTACATCGCACACAATGTCCAATGTAAAAATGATTAACCCTGGGTCGCCAACACCTCTACACCCGCCCCACATCTCAAATGACTATTTGCTATCACCATTACCTTAACGTATGTCAAACTAATTCCAGGTTCAGTGGCGCAAATAAAATAAACGCGTGTTTTTAAAAAACAGTCACGATGATCGATGAGTAATGGAGGAAGCAATTGAAAAAGGATGCGAATTGATGCAAGTGTAAGGATGATTGTCTTGATTCAGTATGAAGAACAGAGAACAGGCCAGAAGAGCTGAGCAAGCGAGATGATGGAAGTAACAGCGGAAAATCCTTAGTTATATTGGTCCAAAGAAAAAATGGCGAAGTAAAAAATGCACATTTCTGAGCACAGCACCTGCATAACAAGCAAACATAGCAGTGTACATGTAAGCCTTTTTTCCACACCAAATCTGCTTTTTGAAACCCTTTCTACTTTTTGATGCGTTTTTTTCGGGGGATAATCAGCAAGAGCCCGATTTTTATTACTGAGGATATTGATCCGATAATAATTGTTGGGACGAGGGACGGTCTTATATGATGTTCCCACACCCATTCTCCTCTCCTCTACAATAGTTAATCCCATCAATTGACCATTCATCAAAGAATAAATATAAACATTTTCTATCATATGGCTCATGTCACACAAAGCATTGATCGACAACCAAACATTGTTCCGCCAACACATCCTCTACACAAGGAGGGGCTGGTATAAGTAAATACCGCTAAACATGTGTTCTTTTAAACCCAGTGCTCATTGTGTGGTAAATACTGGTTGAAGCTGTTAAAGCTCTTCAGAATATTGCATTATTATCTGGCGCACCGCACCCCTGCCCATCGAGGACTTTCATAGACTTCTTTCTTCTTCTACCCCCCATCTATAGTTGGTCCACACAGATAGCTGTCTTTTCATGTCTTCTTCCTTTCTTCTTAACAGAATAACTGCTATTGTATCGAGTTGGTCATCATACAGAAGTCGCATCCTTCAAGATGAGATGCGCTAGAAATAAAATTAAAAATGAGAACCAAATAAAAATGTCGCCATATTCTAACCCTCCTCATTCCTATACTCATCCTCCCCCAAGCTTCAATATCGGCTCCTTATTAGCGCTGGCTAAGAGGCCCATTGCTTTATTTTCACCAAACTGTACTTAACAACTACAATCTTTGTTTATGAGGAGAAGTGGAAGAAGTAAAGGTCTTTCTGGAGAGCCTAGGAGCAATATATTCTGTTCATCTCTGCCGTAAGATTGGTCAACACTTTGTGCTTCAGGTAAACAGATCTTCCTTAGTCTTGCCGCAGTGCATTAAGGACCTATACTTGGGTAAATTGGGCCTGTATGCTATACTTGGGGCTTGCATACAAGAGGATGCTGTTGCAGAGATACACCTTCTCTTTTAGAGCAGCAGCCCTTGGGTATTTTACCATGTCTGTTGGAGTAAACCCTTTCGGATCACCCATAGCTTCTTCGTATATATGGCACCTGGGTTGGTATGGAGCCTGCTCCAAAGCACGACTTCTGGAGACCTACGTCCTTCATAAGGTCCCCATGTAAAGACGGTTTAAGAGAATGATATATTTCGGGAAGTAAACACCCGAACACACCAAAGCACTTGTCGGTTAGGATGGACTAGTATGTTCCTAGCTCTCTACCAGCACCATATCCAATGAATCCGCAAACTATTCATTGGCTATTCGGAAAGTGGCTGGCAACATTTTGACTTGGATGAATTTCTAGTGTTGGGAGTAAATGCGGAGTGTATATGCGCATAATTTGAAGACGGTACATGTACAACAGGATAAATATAAAACAAGAAATATAAATACGCTTAACAATCCACGCAGACGACCGCATGCATCAAGGTGCATGTGATTGTATATAGTTTTGCCCATAGGTAGATTAGATGTGCTCTCTGAGCACCAACAGATCTTTCAACAAAAACAACTGTATCGACATAATACTGCGGTTATCTCTGGTGACTGAAATAGTGTGTCCTCGCTTTCTTTTCGGATAATCGAGGCGGCATTTAAAATATTTCAAAGATACAAATTTCATTCAATAAGCGTACCTTTTGAAGCATGCCACGACTCATCCTTTGGTCCATTATATTCGCTGCTGTTATCTCCATAGAGGATTGATAGCCTTGGACATTTGTTATAGAAATAATGCAGCAACACTACTAGAAAATATTTGAACTAGGCACAATATATCTGTAGTATCCACTGAGGAATAAAAGAGTAAGATTGATTGAAATATCAATGGTGCGTTGATTGCGCATCAAGTATATATATCAATTTCTGTCAAAACTCAATTTACTGTGATGCCAAACAATATTTCCAGTCTTGGAAGTTTGCTTTATTATTTTCCCTCTCTCTCCACATGGTGAGGAGACATGACAAAGTGGAACGAGGAGAGATATATTGGTGCCTAAAGCGGTAATGAAGGCTGCTTGAGGGCCCTGAATAAGTCCTAGAGAAGGCTGATCATTTTCATTCCCAATTAACAGTGTAATGGTCTTTCCTTTTCTTAATATTTTATTCAATTCTCAGGGTAGTTTATACTAAAGAAATTGTCTAGATGGTCGAGCCCCTAACTCCCCTGCCGAATATGGGCACTGACCTACTTCGCATCCATGGCAGCGAGCAATATCATGAGGGCCTCTGGTATGGACACCAGATCCAGTGGGCTCTTCCCTTTCTCTAAGATGCATCCACAAGTCCAAAACATGAACCACCTGTCTAGCATAGGCTTCTGGGTCCACAATAGGTTCTGCATAGCGTTCGCATTGCCTGCACTTCTGGGCATGAAGTGTAACCTTGTAGGAAATGTTGGACCTAGAAAAAATCAGATGGCAGGCAATGATGGCTGATTTCCATTCGTTCTCCTCGCACTCCTCTGTTTTGCAGATGAAGTGTCCCCAGGATTTCATAGTTCTTTCGTGGGACTGCCTACAGTTTTTACTGTAGACGATAGGGTATGCTGCTTCATCAGCAACGTGAGTATGAAGGTATTCAGCATCATATTCCCCCTGACCTGGCCCTTTCTCTTTTTTCTTTTTCTTTTTCTTTTTCTTTTTCTCTTTGACGGATGGCTGCTGATTACTATCAACTGATGCTTGTTGGTTATCATTTGGTTGTGATAGTTGTGAACTAATCCCTTCACCAAAATCCAGGACCATTTTCCTGTCAGCTTTTGTTGGTTTATCTGTTCCTTTGTCTTTGTATCGTTTGCGTTCAGCATGGACCACTCGCCTTGCCCACGTAGGATAGTCCTGTAAGGGGAAACGGTTAATTTCATGTCTTTCTTGGGTCAAGAGCAAGCTGTAAAACGACCCGATTTTGGAACGATTAGGTTCGTCAGGCCAAGAAGAAGGGTCCATCTAATAATATATGAGGTTTTTTTTTTTTATTTTTTTTTATTGTATGTGAGTTACGAAAAGAACCAAGATTGACCAACGAACCAGATCATGATTGATATGAGCTGTTTACTTTTTGAAACCGAAGTTACTACTGGAGTTCTTTGTGCTGGATGTGAATTGGTGCAAGTGTGAGGATAATTATCCTGATCCCGGATGAACAATAGAGGGCAAGGCAAAAGAGATGAGGGAGTAAGGTGATGGAAGTGACAGAAATATATAATTATGAAATATATCATTGTATACCAGATTATATATAGGCTCAAAGCTGTCTCAAGGAATAAAAAATTGGCGAAGCAACAAATGTCCAGATTAAGTTTTTCGTAAGCAGAGCACTTGAATATAAGCAAACACAGCAAACACAGCAAACACAGCACCTGTGTATATCTGACATTGCACAGACATGGCATAGCCATCTGAAACCCTTTCTACTTTTTGGTGCATTGTTGTTATATATATATATATATTATATATATTAGGACTGTATATACATGTAGAACACACATTCAACGATTTGCATAATGCATGCCTTGGCGAAGGCAAGAGGGATTGTTTTTTTTTTTTTTTTTTTTTTTTTTTTTCAGAGGACAATCTGTAAGAGCCCGATCCTTTCATCTCCAAGTACATGTATATTGATCTGATGAGAAATAGCGAGGGATGATCCCTGTACCTTTTTTCCCTCTACATAATTTATCCCTGTAACCGGTAAAGATCAAGGAATAAATAAGTACAAACAATTGTTACTCAACGTTTCTTTTTTTTTTTTAAAAAAAATTACTTAATTAACCAATCCTAAATACAAGAGGAGCTTGGTAAGTAAATAGCAGTAGACATGGGTGTATAATCTATTTATCCTTTTATCATCAATGTTCATCGCGTTGTAAATGCTAGTTGATATTTGTTAAATCACTATCGGAATAGCACTGTGCCATACTTCCTCACATTTATATACATATATGATAGTGTTATGTTTTATTTTCTGTTCCTCAACAAAATGTCTACTGCTGCATTAGATATACATGTCACCACAGTCCCAGATCCCGTGTTTGGTTGCAATTGCTTGTTTATACGAATTCTGTAGAAGCAGCATGGTTCAGAATAAAACGCCAGGGGAAAGAAGAAAAAAACCGCCGCAGCCGATTGCACTGAGGACGATGCCAGGCTATTTTATGGCGGACAGAGAGTAAATATTGATTAATCTGGCTACGCGCTCTGTGATAAGTATAGTTCATCAATCCTGATCCTTAATCCACCCCCCCCCCCCACTTTCCCCCACTTTTCGCTTTTTTTTTTTTTTTTTTTTTTATAATATAGTCCATTTTATTAAAAGTGGAGATAGAGAGAAAAAAATCTATACAGAATTTTATTTCTAGAGACTTTGTACTTGTATATGTATATTTTGCTTTTTCATGGCTAGAGAATAAAGGGAAGGAAGCGCCATCGCGTAGCAGCATACTTTGTCCATTCGGGTCCAAAATGTTGCTCCAGCATTATTTCTTCACCTTTAACTCTGAACCATATTAGCCCAGTACCGATCATCGCCCCAATTGCTACCAATAATGAGCCTGGGATCGGGATCGGTAGCAATGGTTTGATTACATATGACCAAATTCCTTCATTAGCAACCGAGAAAATATAAACTAGTCCTGAAAGTATCAATCCGGTATAGGAAGGATGAAGGAGCCATCGGTAAGGACCATCTTGAACTAGACGATGGCCCGATCGGATAGTTAGTGAATACTATTCATATTTGGTGGCAAAGTAAAACAAACAAAAAAAAAAAAATAGGTCAGTTCAAAGTAACGTTGTGAAAAAAAAAAAAAAAAAAAAAAAAAAAAAAAAGGGGGGGAAAGGACGGATGTATAACACTTACAGTAAAGAATCGATCCAAGGTTCGGAAGGACCATGCTCTGAGCAGATACCCTGTTACACCAGTGGCGGTTGTCAAGGCTTGCCAGGGTTTGAGTGTACCTGGAATGATACCTCGATGCATCAAAAGGATATAAATAGCGGTGACTATCACGGCTGCAGACTGCCCAAACTGCATTCCTCGAAGTATGACCGTTGAGAACAGACCTTCATCCTTGACCTTGTCTTCTTTTTCCTTGGTGTTAGAAGAAGCAGGTGGTCGAAACGAGAGAATGGCCGCAAGGGTATGAAGAGAAATGCAAGCAGCCTTTGCAAACATTGTGAAAAAAATAAAAAAAAATAAATGTAAAAGTGTTTTGTAATGAAAGTAGAATGAAGGAATGAAAAAAAAAAAAAAAAAAAAAAATTAAAGTTGTTCTGACATGACGTTCTCAATAAATACCGACAGTAGCGTTATTACACCATGATTTGTTTGCCATGTGTGTCCCACATGTGGAGTAACAAAATCTTTGCTCACCCGAAGTTTTTTTTTTTTTTTTTTTTTTTTTAAAAAAAAAACTCCCCACAATCTACACATGATGTACCCGTTCTTGGTAATATGCCTGTCTATTCCAAGAAACATGCTAGTAGTAACTCTTGGCAATTCTTTGTTTCGGTATGTACATGTATCCTCAGTTTAACTTGATTTCCTTGCTGGATTTCATGCCCGATGGCAGTAACGCATCATTGAGTTGTCACATGTATCTGCTATCTCTATATAGAAGACATTTACTTCATGGTTTCAAAGGAGATGAATAATGAACATCGATTCATTATCCTCGTAGCCATGGTCCATTTGTGTGACCTCTTTCATTCCATCTGACCGAGAAAACTAAAAATAAAATAAATAAACTCTAGCGTGCGCTCCGGAACACATCCAGCGTATTGAAGTTCCAAATGAACGAGTATGACACTTCTGATCCAATTATACACTCTCTCCAGAGCCAGCTGGCTACACTCACCAGCCGGCTTGAGGCTCTCTCGACTAGCTCTGAATCCAGTCGATCAAACCCCTACTTGGTTCCAAAAGAACCAGCTTACGAAATTACACCTGACGACTCCATTCTCGTCCACTACCCAGCAATGGACGGGAAAGATTTTTTCAAACATAAATCTGGAAACCGTGCAGACGATCTTACATATGCAACAGAAATGGCTAAAGAGATGCAGTCTTTTGCCAAAAACCAGAGGGTCAAGCTTGTCGCTCTTTTTGGCTAGACTCTTTCAAATATAAATGGTTTACTTAACAAAATCCTTATAATTGAAAAAGGACTAACCAAAAAGAGCGACAAGCTTGACCCTCTGCCAAAAACACAACCCAAACCTATTCTGCACCCAAATCGGCACTCATTGACTGGCCCGACTCTTCCTCTCACCACAGTTCCATGGACAAAACAATCTCACGCTATCAATCACGATTGGCAAACCTTACAAGACCACTTGATCAATTTGCCACGGAAATGTTTTCCTACGAAGTTGACCCTGCGGTCGCACAAGCGTGTTTACAGCTCGCACAGACAATGCGTGAACATATCGCACATCTGGGCACAGCAAATGTCAAGCGACAGAGAGGACCTTGTTTACCAAGCGCACAAAATTTCACTCACCAAGGACACAGTTGATCCACCAATTGTCTCAACTTCAGACTTCATTGAAGCCAGCAAATTGGCAAAGAGTGTTCGTCAGGCTACTAACCCGACAAGACATCGGACATACACCAGGAGGACGAGGCCGAGGCCGAGGCTACCAAACCCCTCAATCCAACCAGACAAGTCAGCCACAGGCTGCAGGCCAGCAGTAGGTGGCCGTTTACAGATTTACCGGGAAGCATGGGCTCTCATAACCGACAACGAATGGGTCAAGTCGGTCGTCTCCGAGGGATTCAAGATCCCATTTTGAAGTGCCGCTCTGAGACGTAGGCATTCAATGGTCTTAGATTTAAGACTGGACGATTGTCCCCGGTTTTCTTGGGGATAGTGAATATGCGGCTCTTGAAACCAGGACCTGAAGCGACCTCTATTGCTCTTTTGGCTAAGAGTGCGACAACCTCTTGATCGATCGCCTTCTCTTCCTCCGCTGCTACTCGAGCTTGGTACGCTGTTGAACTGGATATCGGTGGCCGTTTGTGGAACGGAAGCGATGACGACAGTATGCGCAATGTTACAAAAGAACGACTTTATGACAAGCATCGACCTATCAGATGCATTTCTTCATGTACTAATCCATCCAGATTATATATCGTCATTATCTACAGTTCCAATAGAAGAACCGGAAATTTCAATTCCGTACACTTCCCTTCGGTCTCTCACTCTCTCCGCTAGTGTTCACCAAGGTTCTCAAGCCTTTCCTCAAATGGGCACGACGACGAGGGATTCGCATATCAGCGTACCTAGACGATTTGATAATCCTAGCCAAGAACAAAGAGCAATCAATCCAGTTCACTCAACTAGTGCAAGACAAGTTGGCAGCGCTAGGATTCCTCATCAAGGAAGCCAAATCTACGTTGACCCCGTCACAGGGGATAGACCATTTAGGCTTCACCATCAACTCCAGAGATATGACTGTCACAGTTCCGAAATCCAAAGTCAGGGGCATACGACGCGAGGCGGGAAAGCTGCTACGAAAAGGCGCCACTTCTTTAAGGGAACTTTCTTCGTTCGTCGGGAAGGCAATGGTAACATCTATGGCAGTGTTCCCAGCGCGATTCATGACACGAAATCTGCTTCAACTCAAGAACACAGCACTAAAAGCCAAGGGAGCTTCTTGGTCGGACATGGTCACCCTCACGGAACCAGCCAAGGAGAACCTTCATTGGTGGAAGGAGCAACTGACGTCATGGAATGGTCTGTCATGGATTCAACAACAGACACAAATGGACATATACACGGATGCATCGGACACCGGATGGGGGATCGTGATCAACAATCAAACATGGAGTGGCAAATGGACTCCTCAAGAGAAAGGCCACCACATCAACTGGAAGGAACTACAGACAGTTCTTCGAGCTGTTCGACTACCAATAACACAGGGCAAGATGATCAACATCATATGCGACAACACGACGACGATTGCACACATCAACAGGTTCGGAGGGACGAGGTCTCCGGAATTAATGACACTAGCGGACATGTTATGGCGTCACTGCCTAGCAACGGGGACTCGACTACGGACGACATACATCCCATCTGCATTCAACCCAGCGGATGCACCGTCACGACGCATGATATCGCAATTGGAATGGAGGATCAGTCGCCCATTCTTTCAACAACTGGAGCACTAATGGGCCCACATCAGGTGGACCTATTTGCGTCGGCACAGAACAAACAGCTACCGACATTTGTCTCATGGAAATTCCATCCAGATGCTCTGAAGATAGACGCCCTTCAACACAACTGGACAAAGATGGGCAACCTTTACATTTGCCCCCGTGGAATCTTCTATCAATAATCTTGGAGGGGATACAGACCCAGAAGCTGACAGCAACAGTAATAGCCCCATGGTGGCCGAGTGCAATATGGTTCCCAACCATCAAGGAGATGGCAGTAGCACCACCAATTCCGATCCTCGGGAAGCAGTCCTACCAACCGTCGGAAGCGCAAGCGATCTCCTGGCAGCAATGAAAAGTACTGGCGTATTTCAAATGGAGCACGTATCCGCACTCGACATTTCACCCATCCTTTCATACTTCCGCATGGAGGACAATGTGGATCTTGATATGCCTAAGCTCTCTCGCAAGCTCTGCTGGCTCTTAGGCGTTTGTGCGTTTCTCCGGCCAGATGATATCGGTTGCATTGATGTGTCAAAGTCAGAGATCAATGAAAAGGCTCTTCTCCTTACCATAGTCTTCCCTAAGGAACGGCGCAATGGGCAGCGCATCATAAAGTCGATCTTCGTGGGTAGACACCCTAACGACAAGAAAATTTGCTCAGTCGAGGCCTATACAGAATACACCAGACGGATAGCGGACACACCTCTCGAAATCGAGCACCACAAAGATCAGGATTATAAACTCAATCCTCTTATGCGTTTTGTGAAAGACAAGTCCAAAGTCCTTAGGGTCAGTACCATAGGCACTTTTATGAATGAAATCACACGTCGGATTCCAAATCGTCCGTCGAAACGGCCTCCTCCAAAGCCACGCGCTATAGGATCAACCTTGGCAGCCATCGCTGGCGTATCAACAGAAGATATCATGGTTCAAGGGAAATGGTCGTCTGACAAGGTTTTCAACAAACACTACCGTGTTTCCCGCAAAACCCATTCAAATTTGACGACATCGGTTTTTGGTTCGCTCTGAAGTCACATATGGACCATGGCTCCGAGGATAATGATCTGGAAGTGCTACAAAGGACGCACTATCCTCATTATCAGAGTAGCCATGGGACAGATGTCCCTCCCACACCTCCCTTTTCTTTTCACTCGTTACTAGATAGAGAGTAGATCAGAGCGAACGCTAGATTTTATTTATTTTTATTTTGAAGTTTTCTCGGTCAGAAGGAATAAAAGTCGTCACACAAATGTCCCATGGCTACTCTGATAATGAGGATAGTGCGTCCATTGTAGCACTTCCAGATCATTAAACAACACAGACGAGCGAACAAAGTACTGGAAGAGTGTGTCATCGAGTGACTTTGTCAATATCAACACGAAATGACACGTATTTCTTACTAACGAGCGAAGGTGCTTTTGAGAGGTCGTAAAGAAGACGGATCCTTCAGGGACGACAGCTAATAGCTCGTCTTCATTTGAATATGAACCTCTTGTGTAGTTGGCAACGGAGCAGGTATATTACAAATACTTTGACAAAAAAAAAAAGAGGTGCATATATAAGTAAGAGTTTGGGACTGAGATATATATATATATATATTTCTTATTGAAACTGTGCTTATATAAAATAGTCAACTACAATTGTCTATTTGCACAAATGGAGGATCTCCAATGTTCTATATATAATATGGATAATATAGTTTTTTTTTTTTTTTTTTTTTTTTTTTACAAAGTCTTGTACTCATCTGCAGCCTTGACGAGTCGTGCAGTGGTTGCGAGCTCCTTTGCACTATGACCAGCATCCGCCATGAATTCAAACTGAGCCTCTGGCCAAGCCTTATGCAAATCCCAAGCAGAAGTGGCTGGGCAAACTACGTCGTAGCGACCCTGGACAATCGTTGCAGGGATATGACGAATCTTGTCAATATTCTCCAAGATATGAGCATCTGTCTTGAAGAAGCCCTTGTTATAGAAGTAATGGCACTCAATCCTTGCAAAGGCCAAGGCCCAAATGTCCTCCGAAGCTTTAGCGACCTCTACTGGATCCACATACAACTTGGAGGTAGAGCATTCCCAAGTAGACCAAGCCTTTGCACAACGAACGCGTTCCTCTTCATCTGAACCAGTCAAACGCTTGTGATAGGCGTTGATCATGTTGCCACGCTCATCCTCCGGAATTGGCTTGACATATTCATCCCATGCATCTTTTTTTTTTTTTTTTTTTTTTTTTTTGGAATGCAATAGAAGAATTTAGAGTAATTCAGTCGAGTGTTGAGTAGATTGTACCAGAGAACATTATAAGGAAAAAAAAAAAAAAAAAAAAAAAAAAAAAAAGAAAAAGAAAAAGAAAAGAAAAATAGAAACTTACCAGGGAAAATGTTAGAGGCACCACCGTGCTCATAGAACCATCGAAGTTCGGATTGACGAAGCATAAAGATACCACGCAAGATCAAAGCTTTGACACGATCTGGGTGTTCTTGAGCATACACCAAGCTAAATGGAAAATGAAAGCATATCGTATATATATTAGATTGGTTGTCTTTTTCTTTTTTTTTTTTTTTTTTTTTCTTCTTTCCTTCCAATTTCAAACAAACTGGTTTATAGTGTTGCTTGTTATTTGCCGTTGTGTTTGTTGTAGTGTGTAATGATATACCTGAGAGTACTGCCCCAGGAACCGCCAAAGACGACCCATTTGTCAATTTTGAGATGTTCACGAAGCTTCTCAATGTCATCCACCAGGGCCCATGTAGTATTATCTTCCAATGAGGCTGTAGGGGTTGACTTTCCAGCACCGCGCTGATCCAAGAGAATGATGCGGTACACAGCTGGGTCAAAGTAGCGGCGGTCGTGAGCAGAAGTTCCGCCACCAGGTCCACCATGAAGATAAATCACAGGCTTGCCCTCAGGGTTGCCAGACTGCTCATAATAGATGGTGTGGAGGTCTGAGACCTTGAGGAATCCAGTGTCAAAGGTTTCAATCTTTGGGTAGAGAGCTTGTGATTCAGGCATGGTGAGTAATGATGAACTAGCGGACTGGTGATGAAAAGGATGCAAAAGTGATGGGTCTTGATTGGTGATGAGAGAAAATGGTTTCTCAGGGGTCGTCGTGGGAAAAATAAAAAAAAAAAAAAAAAAAAAGTCATGGGCCATGACATGCGCTAGCTCCAAATAGACATGAACTTTTTAGATCCATGTGGGATCCTACTTGATGCAAGGCATATATATATATATATGTATACATGTATATGATCCACATTTCACCCCCATAATACTTTCGGTCCCTGCAATTGATCTCCAGCCTAGTGTCCCTATCAATGTATATCTCTAAACAGTCATACCGATCCAGGATGTCACCATCCTACCAAGAGTAGATCCTCAAGCCTCGGATAGTAACATTATCCTTCATAGTCCAGCGACCCTTTCCTGTGTAATCTTTCTCTTTAATAAATCTCGAGCTACAGAACTACCCTTAAACTAAAAATAAACTTTTTTTTTTTTTTTTTTTTTTTAAATTCTCTCTGCTGGCTGATCTGGTACTACATCTTTCTTTTTCGACCGCTAAGAATCGTATGCTCCTTGGGTGGCCGGGCGGGACAGGAAAGGGTCGCTGGTACGGATAATGAGCGTAAGACTTCCTTTGTCGTCTTTGCTATCCAAAACCTAATTCTAAGCGATAAGATCGCGATCAAAGTCACGAGATCAATTTTTAATTGACAGTGAGGGGGAAAAGGAACAAAGTTCATCATTCTAAAATTCAATCATTCAATCATTCAAAGCAACAATCGACAGCTGCGACTGCAATTACATCAATTACACAACACTTATACTCCAAGGAAAAAAAAAAAAAAAAAAGGGATTATCACATTCAGATAGCAACACACATACGCAATGTACAAGACAATGGGATCAACTGCTCTCAAGAGGCTCATGACTGAGTACAGGGAGCTGACATTGAATGCACCAGAGGGTATCACTTCTGGTAATGTCAAAATGTTGATTGTACATGGAAGACTCGATATGAATTACAAGGAAAAGTCGGATGGAAATCATCTGACAATGCGTGGCTTTCTTTTTTTTTTTTTACTTTCTTTTGATACTTGTAGGCCCAATCTCTGAGGACAATTTCTTTGAGTGGGAAGCACTGATCGAGTAAGTACTGAGGACAAGGAAGTGGAAGGAGGCAGATTCATATACATCTATAATATTTGATCAGAATACTCATATCTTTTTTTTTTTTTTTTTTTTTTTTTATAAATGAAAAAAAATAATAAAAGAGGCCCCAAGGATACACCATATGAAGGAGGCATTTTCCCTGCGACATTGACCTTCCCAAAGGACTATCCACTTTCACCTCCTACAATGAAATTCACTTGTGAAATGTTTCATCCCAACAGTAAGTCCACGCAGGAGAAAACAAAAAGGAAAGAAACCGAACAAAACGAAAAGCATAATGATCAAGAACTCTTTTTTTTTTTTTTTTTTTTTTTACAAACAGTTTATCAGGATGGAACTGTCTGCATTTCTATTTTACACGCTCCAGGTGATGATCCTAATATGTACGAGTCCAGCTCAGAAAGATGGAGCCCTGTTCAGAGTGTTGAAAAAATCCTCTTGTCAGTTTTGAGCATGTTGGCTGAACCCAACGACGAGAGTGGTGCAAACATCGAAGCATGCGTAAGTGCTTTTTTACTTTTTACCATGATGAAAGGGGATAAAGGGAAAAAAAAAAAAAAAAAAAAAAGAAAAAGCCTTTTCTTTGTAAAATGACATGAAGGTTGATTACTTTTTTTTCTTTATATTTTAAATAGAAAGTGTGGCGTTCAAATAGGGAACAGTTTGATGAGATCGTCAGAGATACTGTTCGTAAAACATTGGGACTTTAGACTAGCGTCTTTATTTTATTCAACAATGATGATAACCATTAATCAACAATCGGTCATCTTTTATTATATCAATGTCTTCATGCATGTCATGACCAATCGAGGTTTTTTTTTTTTTTTTTTTTTTTTTAGAAGAAAATATTTTTTATTGAGGAAAAGAAAAAAAAAGTGTCGAGATGCAGAAAAGACAACACACTCCCTAGCCGCACGCATTATCGTGTTGAATTGAAATCAAGAAAAAAAAAACGTTTTCCTTCTTTCTTCCAATTATCAGGTTCAAAGGGTATTTCTCACCAAGATCTTCAAACTGACTCCGCAGTTCTGTCAAAAGAATGTCGTAGAGTAGATAAAAAAAAACTTTTTTTCTCCACATCATACAACCTACAAAGTAGGAAGATCAAGGACCCCTGGTGTTGATGTATCTTTTCGCATCTCGGTAGAAGAAAAAAAAAAAAAAAAAGTTCAAAAAGCACAAAAGAAAAGAAAAGAAAAAAGAGATAAAGTGGTCAAAAAGAAAAAAAAAAAAAAGGCTTGCCAGACCTAATAGGAAAAGAATACTCTTATCCGCTTTGATTGGCTTTTTTTTTTCATTTTTTTTTTTTAAGCCTTGAGAACATTCGCAAGTCCAAGGGACTTCAAGGCGCAGTGGGCGGCCTTCTGTCCCGAGAGCATCATAGCACCGAAAGTGGGACCCTATTGACAAAGTAGCAAAAGGACAAAACAATATAGGCAAAGAGGACAACAAAATGTGTCCTCCCGTTAATCATTATTAGTAACGAGTATCCCAAATCATACCCCTCAGGCCATTTTCTTTAAACCCAGTAAAAAAAAAAATGCTAGAGTGTGATAGATATCACTTGGACCGATATAGAGTGATTGGATATCATACCATACGAGGGCAACCGTCGAGCTCGGCGACTTCCATGCCCGTAATAACCTAGAAGGGAAAAAAAAAAAAAAAAAAAAAAAAAAAATTCATGGATACAGTCAATAGATGGAAAAGGGTATATAAAATGAATGTGGACTAGGTAGAAGAGAAAACAAAAGGACTTACCATGCCAGGAACGACCTCGCGAGTGTTGGCGACAATGCCATCTTCAGCAGCGTTCATGTCCAAAGCAATCATGCCGGGTACATTCTTAATCAACCCGATCTTCTGGAGACGCTTCACACCCGATGCACCCATGGGGCCATCATGGCCTGTGGACGAGACTACGACCTTTGCCTCGATGACGTTAGGATCCATGCAGGACTGGGTGTCGTGATGAAGGGTCACAAGGGTCCAGTTGGTGACGACACCGGAAACACGACCATTCTTGACGATCAAGTCCTCAGCTGCAAGAGCGTTGAAGAGCTTGACATTGGGACGCATGAGCAACTTGCTAAGGATCGTGGACGTGAACAAGGCAGCATGCTTGACCACCACATAGTTCTCATTGCAGTCATCAAATGGCACACCAACCTCGGCCAAGAAATGATGACCAGGCTTGCGGACAATCATGGCCGAGAACAACTGCCCTCCCAACCAGGCACCACCGCCAGGTGAGACGCTTTGCTCAATCACTGTGACCCTAACGTTGGGATTCTTGCTGAGCTCCCATGCACAGCTCAGTCCCTATAAGCCACAAAAAATGCAGCAAAAGAGGGAGAAAAAAAAAAAAAAAAAAATCGAGCGTGAGAATGGGAAATCTAATGAATCTGACAAACAAGAAAACAAAACAAAAGGATAATTAACTCAAAAAACAAGAGTGAATTTCGTACAGCTGATCCAGCACCAATGACAACGACATCAGTCTCGGCGTGCTCGAGCATATCAGTCATGTAGCGACGGGTCATCTCACGACTGACATCGGATTCCTTGATCGGGTTGAAGTGCAGGTTATTGAGATCATATTGAGGAACACCAACCAGGTTGATGGCATTAGCTTGGGCAGTCGATGTAGTGGCGGTGGAGCCGTTGGTGTAGTTACCGTTCGAAAGAGCCATCTTGAAACTGAAAGAAGAGTTAAGATAGAGAAGAGTGAAATGTGTGTAGTTGAGTGTGTGGAAAGGCTGTATGATGGAGGGAGAGGTGAGAAAGAAAAAGAAGGAAGAGGAAGAGAAAGAAGAGAAATGAAAAGTTTTTATAGTGAGTGGACGAGAGAAAGATGTGATGAATAATGATGACCAGGCAGTGACAAGATGTTGTTGATAATAATTTCTCACGTTTCTCACGGATCCCTCCTTTCCATTAGATATCATACAAAGGAGTCATGTCTCCCAACAAAGCATATCCATGCAATAGAACTAAAGAATGACCACCAGCATGCGGGCAAGATTAATACAACCGCTTGTTTGTCATACATGCATGCATGTCCCATCCGGCGCCCATCATTAGTCCTGATTATGACTCGGAATATCAATCATCTGCACTCATATCCAAATTTGTTGCTCCACGTGGCGCTTCCGTTAATGAATCTACAATCATTAACCTTCATGACACATGCAACCTTGAGATCCAGATTGAGAACGACATGTATCATTGCTCTTCATGATCTCTAGCGACCCTTACCTGTACAACCTTTTCTTTTTAAATAATAAAAAAAAACATGATGGATCACTCATTATACACGTCCGTACAGCGAGAGATGATCTTGGCCAGTCCTGCGACGCACCATGGATGGATGGTATGAAAATATTTGAATATGTACCTTTTCAGAAATTGCTGAAGTTTGGATACATTTCTGTCGGGCCCATAAAAGTGGCAATAAAGACAGCTCATCACCTATACGGCCTCTTGACAGATTCCAATCCTTCTACAAGTATATACATGTACAATAAATATCCTTTGCATGTAATCCGAGCTGTCTCTTTGATTTTTATTTTTTATACACCCCACCAAATCCGATCTTCGGAGCCAAAAATTCATCGATGACAGTTGCACAAAACAAAACAAAAACAAAAACAAAAACAAAAACAGACTCTTTTCCTCATCCTTGTTGCGTGTTGTCGATGTTCGGCCTCTATCAAGGATGTCCAGGACATGATGTTTTTGTGTCCCTCTCAGCGAGTCTCTTTTCTGCAAGGATGTAAGATCTTGTTTCGCTCATCTTTTATATTGCACTGTTGTTTCACTCAAACATATAACATATCTGAAGGAGCTGCGGTATTGCAGTCTTATACTCTACCCATCATTCCTCAGAATGACCGAACGATACACAAGGATAGCGCTTGACATAGTCCACCCTTGTACGCGTACATTCATCATACTTTATTTTTTTCCGAAGAGCATAGTTTGATTTAAATTCAATTAAAGCTTGTTTTGTGCAATGGTAAACTCTACTTGTATATTTATTTTATCATCTCCGGGTTATTAAGAAGTCGGTAGTTCTATAAAACTTCAAAGTCACCGGAAGACTCAGTATGACTTCTACTACTAGTTTTAGAATAGAGTAACTTCCATTAGGTACAGTTACTCTAGCTCACCCTACAATTTTTCCTTGAATCAAAAACCACCTTTTAAAAGCGCTATACGGATCCACTACGGACTCCATACAACACGTCCACGCGGTTCGGTGAAAGCACCTGCCATCCGCGGATGGCTGATACTTTGGTAGGCGCTATAGCCATTTGTATTTTTGGCCATAGACTTGCCTTATCGGGAAACAGGCCTTTACGAATGCATTTACTGCCAGCGCTTTCTTGAATCGAAACCGCATGAATGCCTCCTTAGGTCATTCCTCCTGCGACAGTACTATCGACTGTGCCAACAGCTCCATTAAAAATGCCATATTTCTAGTATAGATTGGCATATCTAACTCAGCTTCAACGCCGCTGGAGGCCCAGTCTGACGTTTACAGCTTTCTGCTGCTCAGTCGCATACCCGTATACAGGGTTCAGCTGTCTAAAAAGCGTTAGAGTAAATCACTGTTTATGCCTCGATAGGCACGCCCCGACCCATTAGACCTTGCATATCAGCCCCGTTGCCCCTCAGTTGGCGCAAAGAGGTCCATGAACTTTCATCAACCTCAAAGCATGACTGAAGTCCCCAGTCTATTTCTTGCTTTATCGTTAGCGCAAGGTGAGCAGCCTCACATTCGAGGAGCTCATCATCGCTATATGTCTTAACCATCATGAAGTGTCGATAGCCAGTATGTCTCCCATGTATTACTCGTTGCCACCCCCCGTTGAGTCCATAAGGATAGGGTGCATACCATTCTCGGATGCGTATCTTGTGAAGTGTCTCAACACTATACTCTTGTTTTTGTCTGTTGCACCTGTCATAATCAACTGCGTTCCCTCCCAACATATTCACAACCACTTGGGCCAGCGGCCAGTGGCTTTCTATCAGCTCAGCTGGCGCACGAAGAGTAATCAATTGAGGCCAACACAGGAAGAGTAATCAATTGAGGCCAACACAGGAAGAGTAATCAATTGAGGCCGGCACAGGAAGAGTAATCAATTGAGGCTGACACAGGAAGAGTAATCAATTGAAACCAGCACACGAAGAGTAATCAATTGAGGCTGGCGCGGGAAGAGTAATCAATTGAGGTCAGCGCACGAAGAATAACCGATTGAAGCCAGAGCGGCAAGAGTAATCAATTGAAACCAGCACACGAAGAGTAATCAATTGAGGCCGACGCAGGAAGAGTAATCAATTGAGGTCGGCGCAGGAAGAGTAATCAATTGAGGTCGGCGCAGGAAGAGTAATCAATTGAAACCGGTGCACGAAGAATAATCAAATGAAGCCGCAGCAGACAGAAGTATTGTTTACAAAGACCAAGGTTCTTTTCTTGTCGTCCAACAGAAACTGGTATTATAAGTAATGGGCACCTTGAAAACTACAGTGTAAGGCTTGATCCTATGGGATATCGCTGAGTTTTATAAAAACGAATATATAGAGAATCAGAAAAATGATGGAAATAGGAGTTGTTGAGTCCAGTTTAGAATAAGGATCCCTCTAGATCATCTGGTACTTACTGTATACTCAGTTAAATAGTTTTGAACATGTGTTGTTAAGTTATTTTATAATATGTTATGAGATGGATGTATCAAAAAAAAAAAAAAAAAAGACCTCAAGGTCTATGGCGAGTGGGGATCAAAAGTCAATACTCAGCGCTGTCGTAGGAATTTTGGGATTTTGGTGTTGGATGATGGTATTTTGGATGATATGAAAGATGGACAGTGATGAAAGGAAGAAAAGAGAAAAGAAAAAAGCCTTGACGAGTTTTATACATGTAAATGTACAAGTAAAGCATGATAGGGGCATGAGAATGTTCATAGTCTTTTTTTTTACCGCGGCAACACAGGTCGTTCAGCCGAGCTTATAGTAAAGGCATCCGTTTTCCCTTGACTCTTTATCTTTCCTTTCTGTATCCTTTACTTTTCACATACGCATAATCTGCAGTCTTTGCCCCTAACTTTCTTTTGTTCTTTCTTTTTAGTTCGCCCTTTTCGACGCACCCCGATAGAAACCATTTCCACAATTTTCAGGGGTGACGTGTTTTTTTCCAACTGCTGTGCCAAAAAAAACATAGAAGTGAACCAATCAAAGGCCAAAATTACTTCAATAAAGCCGCCGGACACGCGATGGATTCCCGACTGACTCGGCAAAAAAAAAAAAAAAAAAAAAATAATAATAATAATAATAATAATAATAAGAGGTTCAATATATGCCTTCCAAGGCCTTCTTGTTATAGCCCAGATCTGAAAAATAAAAAAAAATAAAATAAAATAAAATAAAATAAAAAAAAAGAAAAAAAAAGAGAGATATGACCACATTTGAAAAATGGTTTCGTGCGTAAATGATAAATTGAATGGAACAAATCTGCCAAGCAAAGAAACAATAAGCTGAATCAGGTTTCTGCCAAGCAAAATAACAATAAGTTTTTTTTCAGGGTCAGAACAAAAAAGCGAAAGATAGTGAAGGCATTTGTTTATTCTTTTTTTTTTTTTTTTTTTTTTTTTTTTTGCTTCGCCATGATAGACACAATACTGTAACTCAAAACACCCTAAATCTATTCAGTATACGAATGTGTGGAACAAGAGTAAACAATCTTTTTTTTTGCGTAAGCATCTATCCTCTCTGTACCTATTCAACGATGCTCAAAAATTACTTCGCAAAACACAAAAAAAAAAAAAATAAACGTTTATAACATTATGAATGTAGATCTCTGGATATCAGAGCAATCTCTTAGGAGAGACATGATCACGAGTAAGAACATCGTCGACAGGTGCTGAAGTATAGCCATCAGTCTTCCCACGTTGATGGAGTGGAGTTGCCATCTATTGTTCACATTTAAGCATGTTTCTATAATATCGTCTTTCTTGGCTGTCTCTCTTCTTCTTCTCCCTTTTCGCCCTCTACTCTATATTAGTCTCAAAGGCTACCACTCCCCTACTCACCAACGTATCTGTTACTATTCAAACAACGGCCAGATAGCAACCTCCAACTATTCACACCTTTTTTTTTTTTTTTTTTTTTTTTTTTTTGGCTACACTCAAGCAATCATTATGTCTCAAAACCAGTTCCATCACTATATACCTCGCTTTATTTTAAAGAACTTCTCAGATAATTTCCAGTTAAGACCTTCTTACATTTTCTCACCCAATGCTTCAGGCAGCTTTGTACAAGAGCCCTTTCCCACAAACGGCCCAGTCGGAGGAACTAACAAGAGAGGCAACAAGAAAACCAGAAGGAAGAAAAGCATAGGGAGTAACATAAGAAACGGCGGAAAGGGTGACAGAGAAGATGGCCAAGAGATCGAGAAGCAGGCTTCCGACAAGGATTTTCCGATTAATGTGTATCGAACATTGGAGGAAACAATCACACTGAATGACATTAGCAGAATATACGGCATCCAGAACATGTACAAGGACATTGCAGAAGAAGATAGTATGAAGTTTGAAAAGCTTCTCGGCAAGTTGGAGTCTACCTCTGCACAATTTGTTCATAAGATTCGGTCAGGCGAAGAATTGACCCTAACACGGACACAACTGACAGAGTTCAAGAAGTTCTTGGCCATCATGACGTACAGGGTCGAGCACCGGAGGGATCAATATTACGAGTGTAAATTCGATGCTAGGACGCTACTATCCCTTCGGAAACACATGCTCCATAACAACATTGACAGGGTTCAAGACGTGTGGTTCGAAAATCTCAAATGGATCATCAAGACTTCTCATGAAGAATTTATTGAAGAATACCACAAAACCCATGATCAAGGAAACCCTTACGGGATTTCATCGTCTTACAAAGGACCTATTCATGTCCTAGAGCTTTTAGACTATTTTCACACGATTTACAGTTACGTATGCGTATGGCAGGCGGAGGAAGGATCTGAATTCATCCTATCAAATAATTGCTTTGGTACGTTCGAAGGTGATAACGGCCTCATTTTCCAGCACTTCTATGTTGTGTCTCCGAAATACGCCGTCGTTCTCACGAATCGCATGTACATGTGGGGCAACACGATGAAGGACATGACCATCCGAGAATCGTGGTTTGGGGATGAGCTCCGCCTCTTTCCAGAAACTGTCTACTTCAAAAAGTCCGTGAAGAGCCCGGAAGATTACGATCCAAAGGACGTATTCAAGTACCAAAGGCTTGTCGCTTCAAAAGAGAATGTACATTTCTGTAACTCCATCCTCTTGGACACAAAGCCCAAGTATATTACCTATAAATCCAATCTCTGTATGTACAAGACTTTAAGGTACTATGACAAGGCGAAAAAGCATCTGTCTCATTCGTTTCCCAACGGACATAGTTATCTCACCCTGAAGCGCGAGGTTTTTGCCAAGCTTAAAGCTGAGATGAACAGAACACATCGTTCCTGAGTTCTTCCCAAGCGGCTTCACCAAAACTCGACCTTTCTTCTTCATCTTCTCACAAATAAAGATTGTTTTTGTTGAGCGCGACTGGTGATTTTTTTTTTTTTTTTTTTTTTTTTTTTTTACCAATCAACTGCCTTGCGCACGAAGCAAAGCCCATTTTGTGTGCCACTCTGCTAGGATAAGGATACAAGAATGTACATTTGGAAGAGACATAGAGGGGAAATGAGAAAGGAAAGGGCGAGATTCCTTTGGTTCGATTTCCTTCATGGCGCGGCACGTAGAACAGTCATATACGAGCTCTCATATCCTCCTCTTCCTCTCTCCCAAGCCTATCAACTGTATGATTTCAATAAAAAAATACTTTTCAGAAGCAAGGCCGTTATCAAGGGAGTCGGCTTACTAGTGCGTGAGTTGTTCATTGATGTAGTTTAAAAAAAATAAAAAAGTGTGGCGTTTTAAAAGTCAAGACTGGCAATACAACACATAAGACCAAGCTCACGCTAACAAGCAAGCAGCATAAATAGACAAGTAAAATAGATGAGGATAAAGCTTGCTGCCACTACAGTATAAATGATTCACCAGGCAAAAACTCAACCCACCTTGACCTGAAAAAAAAAAAAAAAAAAAAAAAAAAAAGTAAAGCAAAAAGATGAATCCAACACACATAAATCCATATCAAGAATAAGGGCGCTGACCTAGGTGTGGTTTTTTTTTTTTTTTTTTTTTTTTTTTTTTGAATTTGAATTTGAATTTGACGAAATATATCAATTAGACCAGCAATGGTGTGTCATTTATTACTGCTTTAAAAAGGGAGGCGGCGAAAAGGATTGAGATGATATAATAAGGAGGAAAGATCGATGTCTTGATGCAAGGCAACAAGCACTCTATCTGAACGGCGTGCAGTCAGTGCATCAAGAGGAGATAGTTTGACCGGTCATCATCTCAAAGATATGCTGCCAATACAAAGAGAAGTAACCAGATGATGGGCTTGAGAAAACATGGCCAACCTTAATGAATATAGGCTACATAATCATGGCTATTGTTTTCATCAGACATTAGCTGCTGTTGGCTGCTACTGAGCCAATAGCTGCGCATAGTTCTACGAGCATATCCATTATTTACCATGGGCGTTCAAGGTTATTCATAGTCAGTCACAGCTATTGCTGAATAGGCAGCAGATCAATTTTTAAATGCGAGAAAGACGGTCATAACGCCCGAGATTCTATCTACTTGTCAATGATCTGTGCCCTTGATAGCTGCTGTCGCTTCTGTATAAATACCTTCCAATCCCTCTGCATCCCCTTCTCATCACGATAACAATCACTATTACAAAAGCCCCATCGCTACAAACAACATCAACAGCCATGCGTTACTCTATCTTTGCTCTTGGTCTCGTTGCCTTTATTTCCAGTGGCAAAGCCGATTGCCATCATCCAAGTGCCCCTCCAGATACCGGTGATATTTCTCTGTACCGTGGTAGAAACTGCGTTGGAAGGTACCTTAACGTTGCCGCCATGGACACTTGCCAGGATTGGCCTGAATTTGACGCCTGCTCTGCCATTACCAGGAAAGGTGTGACCTGCGACATCTACAAGTCTGATGGATGCAGTGGGGATTATGTTACTACAATCGACTCTTCCGGGTACCGCCAATTCTGCGGCCTAGGTCCGGAAACGATTCAAAGTGTTCGATGCCGTGCAGCCTAAAAGGAAATAAAGGAAAGAAAACGAACGAGCGCATAATTCCCATATAGTTAATAAACAAAATAGGGCAGTGACGACGTGTAGGAGTCTTAAAGACTAATCGATTGCAAATGCACTATTTCAACATGCTTGATCTTGATCTTGATTGTAAAGAGAAACGGAGTCACTCCTCTTTTTTTTTTTTTTTTTTTTTTTTTTACCTTCTGTGTATGTGTGTATTCATTTGATCGCTTTAATCCTTAATGTTATCATTTGAGTAAGTGGCACCATATATGTATGTGCAACAGTATAATATCAAGAGTCAAGAGTTGGCAAAAGTCTAGGAACCCAGTTATATATGCGGATATATGATACACAAGCTTGGAGCTAAAGCAAACTTACGGAAAGTAAGACATAGATAGATTATTGGTAGAAGACACCTATATAAACAGAAGCAGAGCTCCTAGGTTCCAGAGGAAAAACATAGCTTAGCATAAGAGGCACTTGTAAGAAGTGAACCACAACATGACTCAGCTTAGTCGAGTATGGCCTAGATATTCACAATCATCAAGAATAGCTTGCTCACCAAGTGTTCCTTAGACTCTCGTCTGCTTGGTAAAATCCACTTCGTCTTGTCTTCTTGGCTTTACAAGAAAACAGTTGACACTCACTGCATTAATGTTCAAACATTTTTCGACGTCATGTCCCTTTCAAGATCTTAATTCTCTTTTTTTAATCTGTTTTAAGGCTTTTCAGCTTGTTCCCATTGAAAAGTTGGAATAATCAATGGAGTTTTCACTGTATTCGCATATTATGAGCTAGATGAAATAGAGTAGAGTTTTAATAGTCCACTGTCTTTCTTGAAAGCATATTTCCACAACAAAGGTAAATAAAGATGTTTGTGATTTTTTTTTTTAAAAAAAAAAAAAAAATTTTTAACCTTGTTTTATGTTTATTCGACAAGGCATTTACTGCTTTATTCAGTCAGTTACACGTGTCTTAAGTGATTCAAGCAGCATTGAGTGGTTCTCTGCTACAAGCGATGACGACGAGGGAATTCCAATAGAAGACTAGGGTCATGGTTTTTAGGTTAGAAAAAAAAGTTAGCATTTGCTGGTCATAGAAGCCATCTCAGAGCATCATGATCATTAAAACAGTATTACGAAAAAAAAAAAAAAAAGAAAAAAAAAAAGACTTACTACACTGTTCATCATCTTTTGTTTGAGATCACTAAACTCTTCCTCACTGAGTGAAGTAAATTTGATGGGGTTGTTTGCAGGAAAGTTGTCGTATAAACTAGAGTCTGTGATCGAGAGTTGCGCCCGCTGTTGTGCAAGCTTCCCAAAGATTTTGTTTTCCTGTCGATATATGCGGAATGCCTCTTTGTTGAGCGCCTGTTTCTCCTGAATCGTATCGAGGAAGCATTTCTTGAAGATGGCCTTCACGAAATGGAGGACGTGAAACAAATAGTCTCGGTGTGGTCGCCACTGAGGAAACTGGTATTGTAGTGCAAGAAATCCCTGCTGATCAACCAGTGGATGCCACATGTCACTCAAGAATTGTACAACTGGTCGACGGTTGGGATAATCGGCAGGGATGACCATCTGAAATTTGAAGACTGCATTGCGATAGTAGCCCTTATGAATGAACAGCGTGCCAAACCATTCTGACAGAAGAGAAATCATGCGGTTGAAATTATATGTCCATGATATTCAAAAAAAAAAAAAAAAAAAAAAAAAAAGCGATATTGAAGCGTTGGGTTTTTCCAAGATGTTGAATCGGTCCCAAAATCCCGTGGGCATTGATGGAAAGAATCAAGCGTCAAAAGAAAAGAATAAATGAGGTCAGCAAATCACATCCAATTGAAATTCCCTCCTTTCGTGATCAAATCTAACAGTCAGCCGAGTAAACTATAGTATAACTGTGCCTCGGTCAAATAATCGAAAAAAAAAAAAAAAAAAAAAAAAAAAAAAAAAAGATACAGGATTATAAAAACCTGAGGACACATACGATTCATGTTATCAGCTGCAGGCATGACATAAAGACCAGATGGGCAATGGTGTGGGTTCTTCAGGTTAGTGCTAAATCAGTCAATAAGCAAAAGCAATTGGCAACAGAGCGAGTCAGTCCAGAATCCTTTTTTTTTTATCATTTTTATCTCATTACTATCATTAAGCGTATGCTACACATACAATTCAATCATTAGCTCGTATCGACGGAAAAAATCAGAAAAAAGTTGTGGGCGAGCGACTGTAGCTGGTCTAGTTCCTGAGGTCGTGTTTAAATGTTGTTGTGGTGGGTGCGAATCATGTTGATTATGATGTTGGTCTGATGAAGCATCGTGGAGTAATGAGGGGTGTGATGATGATCCTGAAGGACTATTACTACTATTATTGTTATTGCTTTGCGAGAATGTCATGGGTTGCAGTTGCTGATGTGAAGGAGATGTTGCAAAGCTGTTGTTCCTTGATCGCGTTTGAAAGAGACTCATTGTTAGAGGCGGAAAATGTTACGGGTATGCAATGGAAGAGGGTGTGTTGGGTATATATTAAGAGCAGGATGAAAAAGAGTGGAAAAGAGTGAGAGAGAAGAAGATTGATGAGTCAGAGAGAAAGAGCGTGGGATGATGAACAGGAAAGGTACCTTTTTTTTTTTTTTTTTTTTTTTTAGAAAACTATAAAGCTTTGTGTGAGACACTAAGCACGTGTCTCTCCAAGCTAACGTCCTTTGGATGTTTGACGGATTTCATTGTTAGGACAAACCGCCACCACTTATACATCTTCATTTCCCTTACACTTCATCCTGGAAGTATAGTATACTTCATCTCCTCTTCTTGTAGCTCTTTCACTCCATCATCTTCTTATTCAGTAAAAAATGGTTTTTATTTGTTCTTACTAGAAAAAGTTAGAGGGTATTACATAAACCTCGAATTTGCATTGCATCGCATTTCTTCAGATTATGTTACACAATTCAATCGGAAAGCATCTTCGATTTGACGCTTAGTTCCTCTACTTGGGGACTGGAGGAAGCCGTCCACAATCATAGTAGACCTTGCTGACTCCGGGGAGGCTAATGTTGGTTCTCCTGACAGCCTTTCCTTCACAACCCATTCCTCCTAAACCACCGTTACCTCCATTGCCACCGCAACCATTAGCAAAGACACTCATACCCTTGCCGTCTTTGGTTCCATAGAATGCCCATTCGTAAACCTGATCTTGCTTGCCCTCATTAAAGTTGGCAGCAGCAGCGATCTGGAAGCCACCGGTGTAAGATCCATCATCATGGTAGATCCAAATGTAATGACAAGGTTGGTAGTAGCAGGTCCTTGGACCACAGTAGGCAACACGGCAATTGTTGTTGGTCATGACACGGATACCGACTGCTCTCTTGCAGTAGGCTTGAACAGAGACAGCGAGGCCAAGTAGGGCGAGGATTAAAACTTGGATGCGGTACATAGTGAAGAAATTTGAAGGTTTTTATTGATGTTATTGCTGTTGTAGGAGCCGGCAAGTAGATGATGTTAGAGTTGATGCTACTCCAGATGAAGAGATTCTTGGCCATTTTATACCTTTTTTTTTCATTTACCCTTCCATATGTCCCTTTTTCTCTCCCTTTCGCGTATTTGTTACTATTTTCCAGGCACGGATAGTTGTGCAGCAAAGGACCAATTACTGAGTGCTTCGCCCAATAATAACAATTATCCGTCATATATGTAGGAAAAGATATAAAGAGAGAACCGGTTAACGCTTGATCCGTTCTTGAATTGGCTGGGCCTAGGCTTTTGAAGGGTAGAAGGCGAGAGTGTCCATTCCAAAGACGTTTCACTTTCCTTCAGGGGATACGAGAGGCGTAGGAAAGGGGGAGGCTCTATTGGCTGGGGTTGATTGAGATCACAATTTTAAGAAATTTTCAAAGGTTGTGGGATTCCTTTAAAAAAGCAAATCCATTAAACACGCACAAACAACTGGCTGGGTGAAGTCTGTGCAACCACATCCGCGCCTCCTCTCAGCACAGTCTATCTCGTGAACACCGTCTCATAGTAATTTACCTGTCATGTTTACTACTGAACATGGCAGGCAGTGGAGAACGTAGGAGGCGATCAAAAAAAAATTGCTTCATCTACACATGCATTCGTAGTTGAAATCTTCCTATTCTCATTGTTTTGCCCTCCTTTTTTTTTTTTTTATAACTGTCATGAAGAGAAGAAGAGAAGAAACCAATGAGGATGCTTAAATAAGATATAGGTGGGATGATCCAATACTTCCTAGTAGGTGGGCGGAAGCTGGCCAGCTATCTGTTCTTAGAGATGTTACAATAAAAATCTCCTTGGCTGCTAAGCAGTAGAAGGGTCCCGAGCCATAATACCCTTGGTGTTTATTTTTTTTATATTTATTTGGAGTGCTGAAATATTCAAAGCCTCCGATAGGGACTGAATGATTGCAGAATTAGCTCAACCTTACCCTTTCTTAGGAACTATCGTTTGAAAACATGTTTTGAAGCGTTCTGAAGAGCCGCATTATTTTATCATAGCCTGCTTTCTTTTCATTCTAGTCATGCCGGTCAACACGCAGATTCACTCAATACGAGTATGATTATATAATTTGTGGTAGCTAACTTGGATGCGGGGATTGAGTATTAGGGCGGCGTATGTCTCATATGTATTGTACAAGTCTAATAACAATTGAGTCCGCGGTGGTGTTTGACACAGCGATCTGAGCCTAAATAAAGGACCGCGCTTTTTTTTTTTTTTTTTTTTTTTTTTCTCGCTTCCAGTATAGGCTAGATGGAAGGCCGGTACTGAAAGGGCATGGACTTGATCCCGAAGCAGCGTACGCCTGATGATGAAAGCACACTTCCATCTTTTTCTCGCATGTACCTCATGAAGCTTCACGGATTTTTGGTTTTAAAGGTCTATATGAAAAACACTGCTTCAGCAATAGAGTAGGTTTTTTACTGTTTTAGCATCAGATCCGCTCTGTTTCATTATTAGGACTCCTTCCAACACGTGCGGAGTCCCATGTAAACTTCTTTGATCCCCAACATGCTGGTGTCTGAGATGTTTTCTGAGACAAGAGTGAAGAAGATCAAGAAACCCATTGCCATTCTTTTTTTTGATAGACTGTTGTCAATTACAGCTGTTTGTTAAGTAAAAGACCTATAATTGATTTAGTTTAACCAAAAATAGTATCCAGCTTAAATCATTACACACAGGGGGTCTTTTTTATTAAGGCCCTGTCATTTTGTCGTACAATATCCTAACTTTATGAATAAAACTAGGAGTCTCTTCGAGGTGCACTCCAAAGTTTGGGTGTGAACGTAGCGTTGTCTGCGTAGCTTCCTCTGGACCCGCACGAATCACCATGACAGATAACGTTTAAAGCTGTGCAAAAATTAAACCTAAGTCAGCCTTAACGTTGTATATCTTAATAAATAATAGAGTTTATCATGAGGCTATTTTGCGCTCTGATTTCAATATCTCATAAGCTATAAATGTGATGGAGTGAATGATATCATTTCCCTGGCAACTTCAGGATCAGACATACAGAAACAGATTTCAGTCTACCTTGGATTGTTTTTCTTAAAGAATATTTTCTTTTATCATCAAGTCCCGAATTCGGGACCGATAAACTACTTTTTATAAAGAACTATTTCTCATGTGGAGGCTTCATATACGCAGAGTCGACTGCATATGATCCTGGCTGTCATAGATTGCATATCCATTATTAGTGAACGTCAAGCTTTTTTGACCCATGAATACTACCAAATGGTATACTTTATTATCGAAAAAAAAAAAAAAAAAAAAAAAAAAAAAAGGAACAAAGATGTACCAAGATAACCGAGAGTCCACTATTCATACAGGTCTTTGGCCGTGTGGTATCGTTGATGTTGGATGTATCACAGTGATGGTAGGCAATATTTTATTAAATGTCACTACACTTCGTAGCGTAGGGCAGACATACTATATTTTTTGTTTTTTTATGCACTACGGCATCTGACGCTATTAATGGTATCCTTGAAAGTACCACAGAAGCCGCGGTATCCAGCAGAGTCAATCGTAATAGCAGCCCCAGAGCACTTGTTGGCCTTATAAATGTCGCATGTCACACCTTTCCTGGTGATGGCAGAGCAGGCTTTAAAATCAAGTCCGGTCTTGCAAGTATTCATGGCGCCCACGTTGGTATAAGTTCCACTGCAGTCTTTGCCGTTGTACAGAGCGATATCTCCGCTATCAGGTTTGGCACTTGCGTTGCTGCAAGCGGCCTGGGCAGTGGCGACGAAGGCGACGAGACCAAGAGCAAGGGTAGAAAAACGCATGATTGTTGTTGTTGTTGTTGGTTGTAGTGACGGGAGCTGTAACTGTAGCGATTGCTGTGGTGATGAGAGAAAAAAAATACAAGAGGTAGGAGGGTATTTATATAGAACTGACAGCAACTATGAAAGTCTCAGATCATTGTCAAATATATGGATAGAATAGCGGACTCTATGATTTCCTCCACGCGTCAAGAAATTGAAATGCCGCCCGTCTGGTGAAAGCCATGAACAAGCCATGAGTGAGCCTAAACTGCTAATAGTATCCAAGCCCAGGAATTTTTTTAAAGACAGATAAACGCCTGTCCTAGAGATGCAAAGCATCCTATCCTAGAGGTTTCAAACTGAAATACGCCCTTTATGTATTTTCAACCAGGTATTGCGTGACTCTCTTTTATCGAAATGTATGCAGTGTTTTGGACAATTGAATACAACAACTGTCAAAAAGGGAAATCCGGAACGAGACACTGCATGCTCCATGTTGTCGGTAAATTGAGCGCACTTTGCTTCTTTAAAACATTGGATGGCAGCAATGGCGTTTTGTCAAACTTACCTATGCCTTGATCTTTATAAAATGCACTCAGGCACTCTTTTAAATGCTAAAAAGAGTTACGCGGAGTTAAAAGGCGTCGACAAGATGCTAAACCAGACGTTACTGCATCCATGATGGACGAGAATTGCTATCAAAGTTATTCCGCTGAATTCATATAGAGTTGTTATTATTCATACTAGTTGTAGCCGTTTCTAGATTGTTAATGTTTTCTATGTTTGTCGCAACTTTTTTTTGTTGCTTGCTTGCTTGTTCTTGCTCTTTAGGTGCCCCTCTTTATTCTCAGCAGTAGATCCATTAGGAAAGTCCGACACCAATGTACCCTGGCTGATACTGGAGACCCACCCCTTGGCTCTTTCGAATCCTCGTTTCTTTTCTTCATAATCTCTAAACGTTCTATCAAGCTCTTCTTGTGAGGTCATCACAAAAGGTCCCTGTCGAAATACAGGCTCACGACAAGGTTCTCCTGTAATCAATACCATGTGTAGAGATTGATCCCTAGTGGTTATTTGGATGAAAGACCGCTGGGGATTTACTATGGATGCGGTTGCTGTGGTATTGAATTGTTCGCTCTGTTGCTGTGAGTCGGGCACGGATATCGTCTCCTTTGATATATCGTGGCCAAACTTAGAGACAAGGGTAGAGGATAGAGGAAGATTGTCCTGTGTGTGTACCAAATTCTCTTCCTTCTTAGGCCTATGGCTTGTCTCATTTGATCTATCTACAGAGGATAGTATGAGCAGTTGTTGTGCCTGTCCCTCAACCATATCCATCCCAAAGTAACCTCGCCCCTGCAAAATATAAATAAAACCTTCATGTGTCTCTGGTATCCACTCAATGAGTTCTTGGTTGCTCTTCATTTTGATTTCAAAGTACTGTGTGGGTGTTCTTGTATACACCTTACTCTTCACGCCATGTGACTCTCCTGCAATAACCTTGACCTCAATATCAGTGCTTACAGAATTAACACCTGTTTTGGAACTTCTAGTGGGCAGGTTGCTGTCAAATGAAGAATCATTGGTATCTCCTTTGAGGACCTCTACACTTTGATGGGCAACACCATCATCTCGTCCATCCCTGGTATCACTTGGGCCAGACCAACGTGGTATCCATGCGTCTTTGAGTTCCTGATACTGGGGTTTACATAGTTTGTGTTCCTTTGGCAGATTTACCCAAAGCTGTAGTCCCCAAATATCTCGAGAGTCTTTCTTAGCTCTAGTCTTTTTGGTAAGCTCTTGCTCTTGTACTTGCATGCCGATGCCGATGTCAATGTCGTCCTGGTCCAAGAACAACGGCATTTCCGCATGGACGATACCACGACCTGCTGTCATCCATTGTACATCGCCAGGTCCAATTCTTCCTTTATGACCTGCAAAGTCCTCATGCTGGAAGTGGCCCTTCAGCATCAAAGTAACTGTTTCGAAACCGCGATGTGGATGGTCTGGAAAGCCTGTCTCGGTTCCTAATTTTGAACTAGTATTTCTATTGCCCTTGCCTTTGGTTGTAGATGGGTCAGACATTCGAAACTCGTCCAAGGTCAAGAACGGATCTAGTATTGGTAAATCTTCGCCGCCTATGGAACGTTGTACCATTGTGTTCACCCCCTCTGCAACACCCTTTTTTAGTACAAAGAATACGAAATAGACATGATGAGCTAACTGAGTCCTAGAGCATTGCTCGCATGTCTCATAGATTGGGCTAATAAAAAAAAAAAGATTTATTACTCTTGCTGGGACAATTCGATTGATTCCTCGTGCATGTGCATGGTCAGCCATTTCATCAAAATAAAGAAAGATGAGGATTATGAACAGGAATGATCTATTCATGTGAATGGGTTTTATTAGCCCTTAACAACTGCCTGCTCTTGGAAGTTTTTGTCCATGCGAACAATTTAGGATTAAAAGTTTTTTTTTGTTAACAAATATGACAGAGTTGCATTCTCAATCCCATTCACATCTGAATGAATTAGGCGTAACAACAACAATAACAACAGCATCAACAATCCATGCCTCGGATGCAGGCTCTATATCTCTTGAGGTTGAAGAAGTCGCTGAGTTACCTTCACCAATAGAGGGTGAAGAAGCAGTTATAGAAGCAGCTTCAATTGAAGACAGACCAGCTGCAGGCGCATCTCCACTAACACTTCGACCGCCGCGGATATCCATTTTGACCCCTGCATTGATCATTCCTTTCTCCATCTTGGGTCTTCTAATTCGTCTGGGTTTGGTATCAATTGAGACTTTTCCAGGACAACAAGTGTTCGCGTTAGCATGGCCTCAGTTTATCGGATGCATGTTCATGGGCTTGTTTGTATCAACAAGAGAATGGATCAATCAGGGCCTTGCCACGAAAAGGATTACTCACAAGGCTCGTTGGATAGGACCATTTATCTATGTGGGGCTCTCGTCGGGACTTTGTGGGTCCATTACCACGTTCTCTTCATGGAGTTTGGGGATCTTTGTAGAAATGATTAACCCGACCAAGATCAAGCGTCATCCGCTACAGAACGTTAGTAGTGCCCTGGATTTAAAGAACATGCAGGGCTATGCTTCCTTTTTTTTTTTTTTTTTTTTTTTTTTTTTTTCAATAGTATATGTCTTTTGCTGATAATGCAAACACGATATTGTGTGTTACATTAGGTTCTTTCAGCTTTAACGGAATTGGTTGTAACATTGGCGTTCTCCATGGTTGGATTGCAGTCGGGTATGCATCTTGGGGAGGCTATCCTTCAAAAGGACACCACTGACAACAGTGATAATAGCAGCCGCATGCAGAATAAACCAGAACCATTAAAACCTGTAGAGTCGCCTTTGCACTGGACTATACTCGATTTTATCATCATTGGATCATGTGTTTTGCTCTGGATTGGCATGGTCTTGGTAACTATCTTGATGCCTCAGGGATCGTGGACTTCATGGCGCCATGTAGTTTTTGCTATTTGCTTTGCGCCCCCCGGAGCGATCCTTCGATGGTACCTCTCACGATTCAACATTCGAACGAAACAGTTTCCTGTAGGCACATTCGCAGCCAACGTCATTGGATCCCTCATATTAGCTGCTCTTGTGTGCTTGCAGCATTCATCTGGGGTTGGAGGAAAGAGTACTCTGATTTGTCAGGTATTAAGTGGACTTCAGGATGGGTTCTGTGGTAAGTAAAAATATTGGACCCTTTTTTTTTTTTTTTTTTTTTAAGAATGAAAATCGATTATAACCTCCATTTTTTCCCTTCCTCTAGGTTGCTTGACGACAATCTCGACATTTGCACTGGAGCTGAAGATATTGTCACGACGAGCAAGTTATATCTATGGAGTATCATCCGTCGTGGCTGCACAGTTGGCGATGCTGATAGTTCTAGGGTCTTTTGTATGGACACGCTCGTCGACGAACATGGATGATCATGTGTATGCGCGCAGCCTTTGTTCGATGTGAGAAGTGGAAAGACAGTTTGTAACACAGAACTTGAACAATTGTTCAATACTCAAGAGCTCAATTTTGTCTTGACCAAAATGAGCTCCATCTTTATCCATCCAACCAGGATGTTAATCTGATAATTTGACAATGTAAAATTAGAATGTGTCCCCAATTGACAGCTGATACTATCATAATAAGACAAGTGCAATTGGTGTGGTTGACAGTAAGCAAAAATGGGGGAGTAAGCACAATACAGAAATGAAGAGCCCCTGAAATTCATTGCTTATTCATGAACATGGATATAGATGGATATTCCTTCCATGTGCATCCTCCACTCTCATGTGCTCATCTCATTTCTCTTCATCTTTTTAAATCTTTTTTTTTTTTTTTTTTTTGTCTCTTCATCATCTTGTATATACCTATAGTAGTATAACAGCTTTTTTCTTTTCTTTTCTTTCACAGAGCACTCGTCTTAAAATAGCACAACATTCTTCTCCACACTTGTACTCACACACGGAACGGACACAAGAGGAAAAGAACGCTGCAAGCATCCTTTTACATATTTCTATCACTCATACATATCTCTGCCTTCCTACTCAGTTCCTTTCACCAAAGCACTTAACATACACCGGACGCGTTAGTCATCGAAAGCTTTTTGTACTAAAAAGAATAAGGCGGGCTTTGTTGTGGCCCTGCTTTTCACTTTCTCCTCCTCTTTGCTGCGTCGCTTTCATCTGTTTGTTTTTACTTATGTGTTGAGGATATACAACTAGAAAGATCTCCTTTCACCACTATTGCCCATCATGTTCTCTTCTTTTAAAGAGAGATTGAACACAGGTCTCACAACCTTACAGGAAAAAGGTCTAACAACAACCACCTCTGGAGCTGCTGATACTCCCACTGCCTCTAGCAGCGACAATAGCGGTAATAATGCAACAGGAGATAGCTTAGAAGGTCCTAAAGAGGGCGTTGTAGAATCGTTACAATCCTCTTCGTCCTTGATGACATCCCTCAGCTCACCTCACTCGCCCACTCCTTCACAAGGATCTTTTGCGCCTATTGCATCCAGAATCATGGGCAGTACAAGTACATCATTTTCCTCGTCTTTATCATCTACATCAGCCCGTTTCTTCCGCCGGCCTCGTTTAGGAAACAGTGGAGGATCATCTGTTGATCTGGCGGAAAACTCCGAAAATACAGGAGCTACAGTCATAGCAACACCAGCATCAACATCATCAACAACCTCAATACCATCGTCCTCAGCAATAAGCAATGATCATCGAACTATTCATAGTGTCAGAAGTAGTACAAGTAGTATACGAAATATCCAAAACGATATTGGCAATGGGAGTCGCTTGGCTGTGTTGGTTCAGAGGCTAACGCTTAATCCTCAGGATGAGAAGCCGGATCCTTCAGAACTTCTCAGGATCAGGGAACAGCAGCCTGCAGAGACCGAGCTTCCAGATGCCGTGATTGAGAAGTTAGAGCTCTTGCAGCGGTATGAGGCAAGGTTTCCAGGTGAGAAGAAGAACATTGGCGTAAACAACTTTATCAGCGGTAGCCGCAGCGGCAGTAGCAATACTGGGAGCGGAAATCGATGGATAAAAAGAAGCAGCAGCAGAGTTTTTCAATTGACTGACGAGTCAAGTGAGATCAAAAGGATACATCATGAACAACGAGGCAGGCCAACCATACTGTTTCTATATCTGTTCTCTTTTATTCGATGCTTGCAGTGTGCATATGGTGCCATACTTGTTGCTTGATACGATCGGCAGCTTCCCTGCACAACTGATAAGCAAGCCTAGAAAATGAGACGAGAGAGAGCTGTGAACCATCTTAACCCGACATTTTTTTTTTTTTTTTTTTTTTAAATTTCTATTTAACCCGGTTTACTTTAATAGATCTTGCAGAGGGCGTTCCGAAAAATCGTACAAGAAAAGATTGCAGCAGAAGTAGTCCTCAAGGCTACCACGGCACTAGAGGATTTGAGTGATCTTGAGGCTCTGGAGGCGCACTTGCAAAACATGGCTTATAAGAACGAGGTAGGCGCTTTATATCCTTTCCAAGCCTGCGTGCTTATTAAATCGTCAATCTTCACTAACGCCGGCTCCTGTAATATTATGTGGAAATATTTCTATATACTTTTATTGACAACTCCCAATCACTAGATGTCAATGCAGGAGATTAGACGTCTATCCGAAGAATTGCGAGGTAAGCACAAGACAGTCATGACTACTTTTCCCTTTACTCGTTTTTCAATCTGACTGCTGCCATTAAACATTATTACATATTAAACGCTTTTCTCTTTTCTTTCTTTCTATTCCATTCTGACCCAATGCGCTGTCGATCTTAAAACGCATTTAGAGACAATCAAGACCAAAGATCTCGAGATCGCCTCCAAGGACGCTCTCATCAGCAATTTACAGCGTCAATTAGCTTCAAAGGACGAGGTAAATGGCCCGAATGCTATTCTTTTATCAGGATACAAAGCATACTTGACATGATTGGCATTAAGCAAAAAAAAGAAGAGTTTCATTTATTTATTTTTATTTTTTTTTTCTTTTCATCTAATACCTATTTTATGAAATAGGAGGACTCGGCGGATGATAATGATTTCAATAGTTCTTCATCGATACAACGGACGGAGCCGTCATTAGGGGATGAAACCAAAGTCAATTCGCTTGATTTGTCTGCTAACATCTCGCAGAGCTCAGCACCCTCATCTCCGATGTCAATCTCATTACCACCGCTATTAGAAACTCATTCAACCTCCAGTCTAGATACACTTTCGCCTTCAATCTCAAAGGACAAAAAGGCCAAAAACCCCAGGAAGAGAGATCAAGCTCAGGCGCTGAAGGAGTTAATGGTACGCCTAGAATCGGTCCTTAAAGAAAAAAATGAGGCAGTTGAGGAGCAAGAGGAGGCTGTAGAGAAGCAGAAGCGACTCCAAACTCAATTAGAAAAGGAAGTGGTGCTGAACAGGGAAATGGCTCAAAAAATGGATCGACTCCAGAATACTGTCGCAGAGATGGAAGAGCGTGCTCGTCGTGAGGCCGCGACTGCCGCTGCTGCTTTGGCACGTGTAGATGATGTGAAGGCAAGGACATTTGACAGCATTGTTGACATCAAGGAAGGATCAGCAACTACAACGACAGCAGACACCAATGATTTAACGGTAAGCATGGCTTCGCAGAGCCCTGCCACCTTATTAGGGGACAGTCAGGTACCTACGCTTCAAGCACAGTTATTGGCCATCAAGCAGGAGCTCGAGATGGCATTAAAGAAGGAGTTCGAGGCTATACAAGCGAAAGAATCCGCTGAAGCTGCATTAGCAGAAGCTCGGCAGGCCTATGACACTATCCAGGAATCCATTGCTCAGACCCAAAAGGATCTAGAAGCTGCAAATGCTCAAGTCAAAGAGTTGCATGATTTGGCAATAGCTTTAGGAGAGGTCAAGCAGGACTTGGTTGAGGCGCAGGAGGAAGTTCAGGAGAAGCAACGGCTACTGGACCTAGAGCGGCAATGGCGAGAGGAGGCTCTGAAGATGCGCGATGGCACCAACGACGACCAGCAACGACTGCAGAGAGAATTGAACCAGGCGAAAGAGGCCAAAGAAGTGGCTGTGGCTGCGGTTGTGGCCCTCCGGAATGAGCTTAAAACCACCAAGGCGGCGCGAGACGTTGACCTTGATACAAGAATGGGACTTTTAATGGAGGAGGATAGTACATTGTCGACACCAGTGCCTTTTCTCCCGTTATCGTCATCTTTTTCCACAGAAGAGATGCAGACCATATCTCTTTCCAATTCCACATCGGAAAATGACATCGGTACTCTGGAACAGCTTTCGTCTCTAAAACAAGAACGAGCTGAGCTCTCAGAGAAGCTAGCACGACTTGAACGCCTTCATCAGGGATTCGAACGCTCATCATCTGAAAAGATCAGAGGCCTGGAGCAAGAGCTGAGGCTATTAATGGAGCAAAAGGAGGCACTCGAGGCACAGGTACAAGAGCAGTCCGACCTATTGATCAAGGAGAAGGAAAGAGAGAAAGAAATGGAACAAGCTCGCGTGGCAGAGGGTATCGAACGAGTGACACTTGAACTGGCGGCTGTCAGGACTGCAGAGCGGTTTGCAAGCGATAAGGTCACAGAGCTGGCTAAAGACCGCGATATGGTTGTGGAAAAAGTCGCCAAATTGGAAAAGAGACTTGAAAGGCTCAAGGAATCCAAGGTTGGCCAAGAGCAGAGCCTCACAGGACAAATTGAAGAACTCTCTAAGGAGAAACAGGATCTGGAAGCTCGCCTGCAGGATTTGAGAACGCAGTTTGAGGCCATGCAGGAGAAGACCGATGAAGAAAAGAGGCTCCTAACCGAGAAACAGGATGCTTTGGTCAAGGAACTGGATGACGCCAATGCTAGATTGAAGGAAATGGAATCTGATCGCCGTGACAGTATGTCAGATCGCATTGCTGGCACTGATGATGAGGTCTCTGACAAGGAGAAGGTTTTAGAGGAGAAGCTAGATGGGCTAAAAGCGGAGTTGGAGACTAAGACAAAGGAATTAGAGCTTGCACAGGGTGAAGCGCATACGCAGAGGACCCTTCATGCAGACATGGTTATCCAGCTTACAAAGGAGATCCAAGGTCTGACAGCAGAGCGTGATTCGTTGTTACAATCAAAGAATAAGCTTGAGCAACAACTCCGAGATTGTCAAGGACAGATCGAGGTATTGGAACAGAAGATTAAGATCATGGAAGACGAAAACAAACAGCTATTAGCCGCAAAGACGGATGCTCATCAGCAGATGGAGGAGCTTCGTCTACGTATTCGTGCACTGGAGGCTAAGGAACGTGAGCAGACCGAAGCTCTTGCTTTGGCTAAAGAAACAATCCATCAACGTGATCAAGACCTACTTAATGCCAACAAATCCGCTCAAGGGTCAAAGTCTAATGACGATAAGCTATTGCAAAAGATCTCGAAGCTGGAAAAGGAGAAATTGACGCTTCTGGGCCAGTTGGAAACTGCCAAAGCCGATCTGTCCAAGGTACAGCAGGAGACAAAAGTTAAGGTTGCCAAGCTGACTAGTGATCAATCAATAGCATCACAGGAACTCCAACGTTTGAAAGCCACGCATGTGAAAATCCTCCAGGAGCGCGACCAGGCATCTAGTGAGCGAGATGGACTGAAACAGGAGAAGGAAACCAATCAAAAGAAAGTGCAAATGAAGCAGGCAGAACTGGATACACTTCAAAAAATGCAAGAGAATGCAGAGACACAGATGAGTGAGTACAAAGCTCAGTTAATGGAGGCTAGGAATAGAGTTGACACATTAGAGGAGCTGACATCGATCGCCAAGCGTGTAGCGGAATCTAAAGTTGTGGAATTAGAAACCTGCAAAACCAGGATTGATGAATTGGAGGCAGCGCTCTCGAACGCGCAGGAGCAGATACAGCAAAAAGAACTGGAAGTCAAGGAGCTAGCTCAGAAATGGAAAAACGATATCGAAGAGACTAGAGATATTCTAGGCGAGGAGATTTCAAGCTTGAAGGAGCGACTGGAGCAAGGACGGGAGGAGCTTGAGGCATTGAGGAAAACAGAGAAGGACATTCGGTACGAGGCCGAAAGTTCCGCCAAACAGCTGGAAGAACGGTTCCAGACAATAAAGTCCCTCGAGGCGGAGATGCAAGAAATGACAAACTCAAAACTTGATCTGGAGAAAGAACTTGTAAGTGTTGTAAAATCAAAATGCTTTGCAAGAAGGGTAAAAAGAATCCCTTAAATGAATTGGAAACCATGCTTATCAAATTGCTGACAAAATTATCTCATCTCCTTTCTAGGAACGTATCAAGGATGCTGAGGCTGTATTAATGAAGGAAAAAGAAGCTTACGAGGCCGCTGCTGAGGACTTTAAGATTCGCGAGAATTACTTCCGCAACCTTAACAAGGTAATCAAAGTTACTGTGTCCTAGAATCAAGTATTAAACTTTGTGAAAAGAGCAAGAATACTTACACCTCTGTTGTTTTTAATGTTTATTGCTATTATTCCTGATTTGCATTCACCATCTAGACTTTGAAGGACGAAGTACGAAAACTATCAAAACATCTACCCAATTCACCGCTTCCCTCACCCTCATCACCCTACTCGCCATATTCTCAGGGTCATGTATCATCCACACCAGCAGGAGGAACAAATGCTACAAGTGGGAGGGCCTTTTCCACACCAATCCTGAGTTTGACTCCGCCTGCAACGCCTCGGTTTCCACGAACGCAACCAGTACCAGATGAAGATATGAATGTTGAGTACCTGAAAAATGTGCTCTTGAGTTTCATGGAACATAAGGAGCGGCGGGTAAAGACCTCTTATTATTTTTTCTATTTTTTATTTTATTTTATTTTATTTTATTTTTTTTTTAAGGAAATGCTTGATAAAACTATACTTTAAAATACTAATTTTTTTTTTTTTTTTTTTTTTTTTTTTTTTTAGCAACCATTGATACCCGTACTGTCGCAGATATTGAAACTGTCGGTAGAAGAGAAGAAGCGACTCGCAAAGGTAGCATAATCGCTGCTTTGTGTAAGTTGACACATCCTCATAATTAACGCTATCATAACCTGTATTATATGATTATGTCTAATAAAATATACCATGCATAGTAAGATCTCACTTGAACATGATTTAAAATGAATAGTATGAGAATGAACTTGCTCAGTGGTTTTCATCAATGGATTCATATGGTGAATCATATTCCTTCTGGTACATTTACAGCACATCACCGGTCAAGCTGAATACTCATCGCTTTCCTCTCGCTCGTCTTTTGAATAGGTGTTCCTTTCTTTCATCGAGATAGTAATAATAGAAGCATCATTATTCTTAGTCGAATAGAGTATAAAAAAAAAATCATTCAAAGGGAGCATGTTCAGCACATTCAGATCTAAGTTCAACATATATAATATATTGCAGATCACCATCCTTGCAGCCATCTGGAAAATATAACTATGCCTGTGCCCGCCAAGGAGAGGATTTTGATGTACACCAAAAGCTCAAAATTGGACATTTTTTTGATAATATGTCGACATATTGATATATGGTAATCCCTAATTTCCATGAATAACCAGGCGATGATAATGGTTGACCCATTTCTTTCATTGGAAATCGCAAATATTCGGGGAATTTGATGAATTTGGATATATCTGTACACAATTCTAGGCAGTAGCTGTTTTGACTAATAATTTAAATTTTTTGTCATAGACGCCTCCGGATTTTATACGCCACCAATGAAGCTCGTTATATTTTGATGCAAAACACCTAAATACCCCCAGAGCTATGTAGCATCATACTGGCGACTGTTCGATGCTTGTTGGTTTTCCAAATCTGCTTTGATTTCACCATAATTTAGCGGAATTGATTAGCATCCCCTGAATAGCTGCCATCCAAAGGGACTTACTGTGTTGTTCAAAACAATAAAACTTGACTGAAAGTCTGCTAATCCTCAAACCATGAGGCAAATAATGCCTCTGAACGCTTCAATAGGATTATGGCGAGCTTTTGGGGTGCAGAAAAGACAAGATTGTTACTTTTGAGCAATGAAGGATATAGGATTTGTTCCTTGGAGGCACACTTTTTTGAAACCACGCTTGTTGCTAGTAAAACACAAATGGTTCCCGTTTTCCGCATAATTTCAGCGCTTCCACAATCCAAGGGCTGTGATATAGCCATTAAATGTTACATGTTTGTCGAAGTATTGACACATCCCTTGCAAAAGTTCAGATGTATGCTAGGAATATTGTTTAAGGGACGTAGAGTAGTCAATAGCATGTGGCAGTGTTCAGGTGTTTATACAGTATCAGATGGGTTCACTAGGCCTGAGGACGAAGTTCATGTGCACATGCACGTGCTGGAAGGCAGATGTGGCTTGCTCTTCTCTCACAGGCTGGGACTTGACATTTTGGCTTAAAAAAATTTCTAAGTCGAAAACACCGCAGGAAAGGCTCTTTTTTTTTTGTCATTTTTTTTTAAGCAAAGTTTGCAGATCACAAGAAAATGGCCTACATGTGAAGCATGCTATTGTTTTTCTTGCTCTCATTTCACAACCTCATTTATTCATTACGAAATTTACCTCCCATCATTCTCATCTTAAAAAAAAAAAGCTCCCTGTGGTGTAAATGACTTGGAAATAAAAAAAAAGAGCCTTTCCTGTGGTGTGTTCAACTTAGAAATTTTTTAGACCTCCAGCCAAAATGTCACGTTTGGTCCCAGAGAAGTGTCTGCAGGAGCATGCCACGTTTGCCTTTCGGCGCGTGCATGTGCACATGAACTTCGCCCTCAGGCTTGCACAAAACCAATATTATTGAGTCCATTCTTAACGTCCAAATGCCAAGTTTTTTCTTTATTACTCTCAAGCAATGAACTAGACTTTATGGGGCAACTAATATAATTGCTGGGATATCTACTTGATCATCCTCCTCTTTTTCTTCATTGCCATCTTTTCTTTCTTTGCTGTCATTCTCCCCATCCTTCCTAAAGTTTGACGCGTCAAGGGTTTTCTCTAACATGGCGTCTTGTGCAACAAGAAAAAAAATTTCTCACACACAGCATAGCCCAACCTTGAAATAAAGGAACAAATTTATCAATTGTCGCTCCTTTCTTTAACTTGCTTCACTTCATTTTTGCACTCTCCTCTTCCTTTTCTTCCTTTATCCTCTTTTCACTTTTTTCTTATTTCCCCCCAGTTTTGCTCCCTTCACATATCTTCTCCTCTTCCTTTTTCATTTATTCCAAGCCTTCATTCATTGCCTTTCCTTTCCTTTCCTTTCCTTCCTTTTTTTTTTTTTTTTTTTTTTTTTTTTTTTTTTCTTTTTTTCTTTTTTTCTTTTTTTCTTTTCCTCCCTCATCTTCATCTCCACAGCTTACATTGTCACAATTTTGAACCATCCTGCTACTGACTTACCATACTTAACAATTTGATCAAACTTTTCCTGTTTTCTGTCCTCCGTCCATTACGCCCTTGTTTTTAAACAGTTTTGAAATCACAATGGGAAGCGGAACAACAACACCAAATGGTCCATCTAGACGTGGTTCGATTGAAAGAAAAAGAGAGGTTGAGAAAGAGCCAACCAACCTAAGGATTTATTGTATTGTTGCTAGAGAAGCAACGTCTTTTCCTGTAAATATCCCTTCTGATCGTTCAGTCGGTGAACTCAAGCAAGCCATCAAGGCAGCGAAGAAGCCAGAACTCGATCATGTTGCCGCAGACAAGCTCACGCTCTGGAGAACAGTCAACCCCAGGAGAGATAAGGACAATAAAGTAGATCTTAATGGCACCGTTGAAAAGACAGAGCTCGATGACGAGAGGGCACTTCTTTCTGAGCTGGACGAGCTGACCAGCCGAAGGACATATGTTATTGTCAAGCTGCCGCCGCCAGGTATGTATTTAGCTCTTGATGGACTGATGGTTATATTTTCAATTGAGGAAGCTTATTTTCTGTCCCAGCACGGTCACGTGTATCCCTCCCTTTTTTATGTTGTTGAGATGAATTTGAAAAGTCGCCCCCGTGGTGCGTGCGCATGCTCTGACTCTCACTGTTGTCTGAGAACATAGTTTTCATTTTTATTTTTATTTTTATTTGACCTTTTACATTGATGCATTTGTTAGTTTTTCTGATTGAATCTGTTTCGCGTTTCGCACACATGCTCTGACTCTCCATTAGCTGGCGTTTATATCTCATTGACAACAATATATTCTTTGATCTGATCAAAATGCTAAGATTTCTGCCATTGCTGCGCTCTCTTATCTTTCTAGAGACATCGGAACAGATTCTCAAGAGAAAAATGGACGAAGGTAATAATTTGTTTTTTGCTGTATAAATAGATTGACTTGATGACTGGCTATATGTTATGGTACTAACCAACTGTGTATGTGTACGATGATCATAATTAGATCCACAGTATATTTCACCTTCAAAGAAGATACGCATTGAGGAAGGGTGGAGAGAATACAGGGCTTCTGATGGCAAAATGGTCACGTTACCACCCTCTTGGATCGCAATGCTAGAGGATTCTAGATACCTTCCAAAACCACGTAATGAGTTTGAACATCTCAAAGACGATCTGAAGGCTGGTAGTTGGGTCGATATACCATCCCTGGGTCAAGTCCCAAAGGGTTATAGAGTCTCTGAAATTCTCGTCACACACCAAATGCTGGAGCTTTGGAACGAGATGGAAGAAGAACAAAGGTGCGTATACAGACGAGTCTTGTCTGGTCCAATGGGTATTGGCAAGAGCTTTCTCTCCTATTTTTTGACAGCAAGAGCATATGCTGAAGGATGGCTTACCCTCTACATATCAGATGCGGGTACTTTGGATACTAGTGAGAAAGCGGACTCATATATGGAAGTGATCGAGCGTTTCCTTGTGATGAACAAGGATGTTTTAACTGCTGCCGAACTGGAGACGCTTGTATCCGGCTATGGTGTTCAAGGTGGCATATGGAATACTGCTATCATACGCGTTTTTAACATGCTCATGCAGAAGGAACGGAAGACTCTAACTATTATTGACGAACATGGGAAACTCTTCAGATTCGACAAACCAGTACCAGAAAAATTTAAATCTTTAAAACCTCTGATGGACCTTTCCAGTTGGACTGAAGACTTGGCTGGATCTCGTTTGATTCTCACTGGCACAGCGCATGCAAAATTCGAATTGGAGATCATGGAATCGAGCTTTAAGGAGGACTTTAAAACAGTGGTATTCGTGGGACCTTTGTTGGATGACGCTTTCAAGAATCTGTTGAAGCATACTCCCAATCTCCAATCCACGGACTACGAGGATATACGGAGTATCACGAACCTTGTACCACGAGAGCTGATGAACTTGTCAACCTATATTGAAGAGAATCCAGAGTTACCCATTAAGGAGGCATTCGAGAAGTTTGAAGACTGCCGAAGGTTGGATTTTTCTCACAACATCCAGAACTACTACAAAAGCATCGAAAAATCCGAGACGACCCGTACAAATTTTTATAATGGCCTTGCCTCGGCGTTCTTACATGGTTCTGTCGAAGGAGAGTTCAAGTGGGATTTCATAGATCTGGGTCTTTTGTTCCGTCTAAGGAGAGATGGAGTAATTTTATTCCGCCCTTTATGCAATACAGCCTTCAGAGCACTTTTGGATCAGTTCAAGACAATGGGAATGCCAGAAGATCTAAAGAATCGGCTCAAGGCTAATAGGTTCAGTGGAAATGAATTTGAGCAAGCAATTTTTCATGCATTTATTTGCACTAGTATTAGGCCAATAGTGCTCCCTACAACGAACCTCGTTGGTGATCCTAAGGGCTCGATTGTGTTGGACTTCGATGACTACCGAGTTATAAGCAGGCAACGACATTCTCTTGGCCCGGGAAAAGATAAATTCTTGGCCCGTGGCTATCCAGGATATCCTCGATTTGACTTTATGGTTGGACCAATATTCATCCAGGTGTCTGTCAGCGAGTTTGGAGTGCATAACAGAGATTCAAGTGATTTAAGGAAAGCATTTAAGCGACCGTACAAGACACCCAAAGTGGTGTATAATGATAGGAATCAGATTGAGTGTTACTTGGATGAAATGTATGGTGGAAAGCATAGAGCTGATTTTGGAAAGGATGGATTTATTGTCACCAAAAAAGACCCGACAACAGGTATTGATGAAGTTGTTCCTGGATTCCGAATCGTCTACATTTGTGGTAGAGATATTAACCTAGGGAATCACCGCCAGCTCGTTACAGAGTTGCCAGATGTAGAACATGTAAGCTTCAACGACCTCAAAAGCCTATTCTTTGCAAACATTGTTTGATAGTGTTGGATAGTGTTATCAATAAAGGAAGCTTCTACTCCATTCATCTTCTAACTTTAAGCGTCATCCTATCAAAGGGTGCCGCGTCGGGTTGTAGATGAGATGAGACCAGATTGAGATAAATACGCAGATGCGGCTTGACGACTTTAGATCTGTTTATATTTATGGGACTTTTAGATCGCCCAAATCATTCTAGAATAGCCAAAAATATCCAGTCTTGCTATTTGTAGAGAATTATTCAGAGGGCGGTAGTAGGCATAGTGGTAAATGGTGCTTAATTGTTAAATGCACAGTTTGATCTGTAAAAAGAATTTGTAAAGTCGCCTCCATGGTGCGTGCGTATACTCTGACTCTCACTGTCCTCTCGCGAGGCTTTTTGCTTGAGCTTATTTCGGCTCCCCACTGCTCTATCGCATACAAGTACTTTTATCAAAGCCTCCTATCTAACTATCCTCTTGTTAGTTTATTGCGTGGATTTTAAATAGCCCCAAGAAGTCCCAAAGGAGCCTAGAAGACACAGAAGACGAAGATTTAGAAAGTGAGTTTATTCCATTCATAGTTTTGATGATTCTTGAGAAAATTTATTTATTCCATACTCACGTCAGTCTCGCTATTCTTATATGCTCAAAGAGCACCTTACGAAGCGCTGTCGTTCCTTGAAGCAATATATTGCAGTCGATGGCGAACTCGTAGTTTTACCCCAACATATACTGAATTTGAGCGAAAATAACAAGTATGCACCAGAACCCCGCGCCGAGTTCCAATCGCTTTTGATGGTGCAGGCTGGGAATCGAATTACTTCAATGGATCTTGGTCAGAACCCAATATTCTTTGCGAGAGGCTATCAAGGTCGCGAGTTTTTTTATGTCTGAATAGATGATGAAGCTATGGAATGAACTCGAGAACAGTGAGTCGTCTGTCAAGAAATGTTTACGGTCCAATGGGCGTCGGCAAATCATACATTTCATGGTTCCTTGCGGCCAAGGCATATGCACATGGTTGGCCAGTGCTTTATATTGCGGATGCTAATCAACTTAACAATTGTGACACTAATACTGACGCATCACGACTGATCTGTCAACTCTTCTTATCCATCAACAAAGATACTTTGACAGCCTCAGAGCTCGAGGAAATGGTCGAAATTGAAACATCGGAAAATCTTTTTGTGAGTAGCGCCAGCAGTATCTTGGGTGACCTACTCCAGTCAAGAAGTCAGAAGGCATTATTTGTCGTGGATGAGCATGGTGCATTATTTCCAGAAAAATAGTAAGTCTGCGCCCGACAGGTTCCCAGTTTTATGGCCTCTAAAGACTTTCAACTCTTGGAACAATTCAAATAATGCGAGAGTAGTGTTTAGCAGTACGGTAAGATTTGCAAAGCTCATTCTCAGAGACACACCACACTATGTCGAGTATGTTGGTCCACTGTCGCCTGATATTTTCAATAAGCTACTGGATGTGATCATAAATAAGGTCCACCCAACAGCCCGCCAACAATTGAATGAGCTACGAGGCGAGATTCAAAAAGCCACCGGATGTGTGCCACGGGAATTCAATATTTTTTTTTGGCGAAGACATTGAAGGCATTGAGCTCGCGGCTAATGGGGTTAAGCAACGACTAAAGGATTATGAGGAGGATCGCAAAGAACAATTCTTGGAGACTTTGAAGAACTGTTATAGTGAAATTGAACCGATATTCCAACCAATTACTCGTCAAGCTCTAGGAAATAAAATCGGCAAAGGCACTGTTAAGGATCTTCTTCGCTCTCAACAGGGATATCTTGACGGCATCTGATCTGGAAAGTCTCCTCGACGCTTCTGAAGTTATAGATTGCTCAATTGCGGCTGGTCGCGCATTATTCGACCTATTCAAACAGAAGGAGCGCAAAACACTATTCATTATCGACGAACATGGAAAGTTATTCCAAAAAGAGCCGTACGTGCCAGATAAATACCTGTTCTTGAACCATCTAAAGGATCTCACTCGATGGGAAGCTGAATCCAAAGGATCTAGAGCGATATTTACAGGAACAGCCCATGCCAAATATGAATTGGAGATTATGCCAGGCAGTCTTCGAAATACCTTATTGTACTTTGTTGGCCCACTATCCGAGACAGTGTTTTCAAAATGGTTGGAGGTCCACCTGAACCAACCCGATATTGTCCAGGATATAATGAGGATTACAAACCGTGTGCCACGAGAGTTTATGTTCCTCATCCGGTCAATTGAGGAAAGACCACTCACAAGAAATAGCATTGATTCGTATGTAACTGAGAGAACAGGCGAGTTTCACACTGTAGTTTGGACGTACTACAGATCTTGCAGCGATGAATCGAAGAAGAAGTTCGCTAAAAGCCTTGCAACAGTCTTCCTTGGCAACAACTCGCAGAGTAGTGATTTTGAATGGGATTTCCGTGACCTAGGGCTTATCTATCGTCTCAACAAGAACCGCGGAGCCATAAACTATGTCTTGTGCCTCCCAGCGCAGAAAGCACTCTTTCAGGCGTTTACAAATATGCCTCATCATGAGCATATCCTGAGGGGAGTTATTCTTGGAGAGATGAGTGGAGATGATTTCGAGTTGGCACTGCTAGTCCGGCTTTTGACTTTAACCAAGCCAATCGTTCTCAAAGCAACAAACCTTATCGGCGTGAATCCAACGGAGATTATAATGGACTTTAAGGATCATGGGACAATCCATCAAGGCATGACTTCTCTTGGACGTGGCTATGGACATGTACTGAGTCATTGTCATTCGACTTATCCTCGCTTTGATTTCATACTCGACACAATGTTTATCCAGGTGTCCATAAGTAATTTCCAAGAACACGAGAAGAAACAAATTAAGCAAATCCAGAACGCTTTTGATAAGAGAGGTCCCGACGGCAGAAATCAGATCGAAAGCTATTTGGACGAAGTATTTGGAGGTAATCATTCCGCCATAATTGACGATGGGCATTTTGTTGTCAAAAAGGATGGAGAGCCAGTAACTGGATTTAAAATAGTTTACATGCGTCAGCTTCGACGAGCTCAAAGAGAAACTTTTTAAAAATATCCCAACTTAGAATTTTCGTCACAGTATACAGTAATACATAATATATATAGTTCTTAATCCTATAAAAAGGCTTGTCATAGAAATTTAATAACACGCTAAAATATTAACTGGGGCGACTTTGGATTTCATCTCTATAAAAAATTTGAAAAGTCGCCCCCATGGTCCGTGCGCGTCACAGAGAGGTCACTCGCTTGTTAAGGCGACTGTTCGATGCTTGTTGGTTTTCCAAATCTGCTTTGATTGCACCATAATTTAGCGGAACTGATTAGCATCCCCTGAATAGCTGCCATCCAAAGGGACTAACTTCGAATGGACAGGATTTACTGTGTTCAAAACAATAAAACTTGACTGAAAGTCTGCTAATCCTCAAACCATGAGGCAAATAATGCCTCTGAACGCTTCAATAGGATTATGGCGAGCTTTTGGGGTGCAGAAAAGACAAGATTGTTACTTTTGAGCAATGAAGGATATAGGATTTGTTCCTTGGAGGCACACTTTTTTGAAACCACGCTTGTTGCTAGTAAAACACAAATGGTTCCCGTTTTCCGCATAATTTCAGCGCTTCCACAATCCAAGGGCTGTGATATAGCCATTAAATGTTACATGTTTGTCGAAGTATTGACACATCCCTTGCAAAAGTTCAGATGTATGCTAGGAATATTGTTTAAGGGACGTAGAGTAGTCAATAGCATGTGGGCAGTGTTCAGGTGTTTCAGTCGCGTTTTATCTGTTGATCTGTACGGTTTTTAAAGTTAGTCATTGCTATCCAAGACCTCGTCCAGTGCCTTTTTCCTCGACCTTGCCGCCCCTGGTAACCGCATGATCCTCTCAATGTCCAAGGCAATCGCCCAGTATGCATAGCGGCGTAGTCGGTTGAGGACAACAACTGCCCCTCAGATCTGGTTTGCAATACTATCTCTTTCATCTGCGTCCAGTCCGCCTTTCCTTGCCATGGAGGCCTTAAGGGACCCAATTGTTAAGGCCTTGATAGGGTGCTTACTGCTGTAGCTGTGATCAACCTTCGTAGCATTCTTCAAGTTCCTAATTGGTGCACCTTCTTTTTTAGCCCTGTGGGGCTTCTTGCCTTTGTGCTTCCGCTTTTGTTTTTTCTGTTGCCTCTTTTTTGCCTTTTTCCGACGTGGTGGATGCTTAAGGCCCGACCTATCGTGCTGACGGCAGTTATTGATATCAACTGTGCGCCCATTCAATATGCTCGCCTTGTCAGAAAAGATGGGCCGGAACTGGTTCCTATGTGACCCTTCCGCTATATAGAATGATGGTGCGCCTCTACATTATCTAAGAAAGGGACTAACGATTAGTATTGGGGACGTATGATTTCAAGGCCAAAACTATAGCTTGAGCTTTCTTACGTTCTACGGCGCTGCGCTCGCCTTTGCTGAGCCATTCTATGGCGAAGATCCTCTCCATTGAGTAGACGCTGCTTGAAGTTATCGAACTCATTGTTCAATGGTAACGCTTGGGCCGACGTTTGATGGCCGGAAGTAAAAATGCGGAGAGCTACTCTGAAACGGCCTTCTTCAGAGGCTGCGTTCCTTCCCAACACCTTACTAGCTTCCCTTAGGTAGTCCCGAAGCATTTTATTGTAGTTCTCGTCCCACGCAACCTTTCGAATTAATCGAAGATTATTAGCCGGGCCTAAGGTCTCGAGGTTCTTGAGTAGTCATTGCCTGCGATGGCACAGAATAACACCAGATGCGCGTGTGATGGCAGTCTTAGTGCTTGGATAACGTTGTCTACATCGTAAACCCCAAACTTCCGTCTACGGTGCGGAAGGGGTCGCACTAGGAAGCAGACTCGTTCGTACGCAAAAAAATCAGAGTCTTGGGATATCACGATCCTATCATTCTCCTCATTATGGCACCCTATGCATGGGTCCGCTTCATATGCACACAGACAGACATCGAAGACAGAGCTAAGGCCTGTTGCCAGCTGATCCTTGTCCTGGACGCTCAGGGTGTGGACTCCTCGAAGACCCTTCTGGATGTGCCTCATGACTTGAGGACGAGTCCATACCCCACTCCGAGAATTTCTCTCGAAGGTGCTCATATCGTTCTCCAAAGCATCCATATTTTTTTCTCTTATGGCTTGCCGTTCTGTCCTTGCTTTTTCTTTCTCAGTACAAGGTTCCCCATCAATATGTATAGTCAGATTGTCCGTTATGAAAAGACCCTTTATCACGAGAGCCAGGGACCTTCCTACATCAATGATGGATTCGTTTTTCATCTTTGCATGGACGACTCTGCGGAGGGTGTCGTAATAGAACGTACCGAGGAGATCTACATGAACAGAATGGTCAGGATTTGCCGCCAAGAAAGTGCCCACGTCAGTTTCCGAAGGCAAAACCCCACGATCCGCAACCAGTTGAAGAAGGGCTTCAGCCCCATGGTCAATATCTAAGCGAAAGAGAAAGAAAAAAGGAAAAATGGTGGTGATGAAAAGAAATGAAAAAGAAAAAAAAAAAAAAGAGCGACAAAGGTATAAAAGGATGAGCTTTTTTATGATTTAAAGATCCAAAGTGAATAGATAAAGAATATTGAGGGAAAGATACAGGAACAAGTGGCAGTGGTAAAAGGGATGGGACTTTGAAGGAGGAAGACAATGATCCCTTTTTATATCCTGGATTGATGATGAGTTTTCATCTCCATATACAGCATACAGTGTCGATGTCGATCCTTTGTTACACAATTTTTTTTTTTTTTTTTTTTTTTCAGTTTCTTTTGTTTGCGCTGGCCCATGGATTGCTGGATTTTAAGCCCATTTATAATGGCAAATTTGCCCTTGGAACGGACGAAGGGATAACCTTGATTCGAAGTCACAACTTGTTACAAGTCATGATTTAAATTTGTTTATTTGACTTAATTACGCGCAGCATTCAAGCTCTTGATTCTTACAAGTCTAATTACATTGCTCCTCATTATTTTCATTGAGCTACTCTCTTTTTCTTTGGTGTCCTATTTTTTCCTGCGCAGGTATGTCTGTATCTTTCATTTAGTTTTTTTTTTTTTTTTTTTTTTTTTTTTTTTTCCTTTTTCGTTTTCAACCTTTTTTTTTCTTGGGCATAGGCAGCCCACAACTACGGTCAAAAGGCTGTTTTGGCTAAGGAGCTCCGGGCGGTGTCCGGTGCCAAAGGTATTTGTATCCTCTTCCGAAAGCCACTGTCTGGGATTAGGAAGTTGCGTCCTTCAACTCTTCATCATATCTTCAATGTCTGCAATCTCTTTTTAAAACTATTTCTTATTCGGGCATAGGCAGCCCACAACTACGGTCAAAAAGCTATTTTGGCTAAGGAGCTCCGGGCGGTGTCCGGTGCCAAAGGTATTTGTATCCTCTTCCGAAAGCCACTGTCTGGGATTAGGAAGTTGCGTCCTTCAACTCTTCATCATATCTTCAATGTCTGCAATCTCTTTTTAAAACTATTTCTTATTCGGGCATAGGCAGCCCACAACTACGGTCAAAAGCTATTTTGGCTAAGGAGCTCCGGACGGTGTCCGGTGTCAAAGGTGTTTGTATCCTCTTCCGAAAGCCACTGCCTGGGATTAGGAAGTTGAGTCCTTTAGAATATCAGAAATTGCCTCCATTGAGTTATTTCTCCATTATAAAAGTAAAAGAAGCTAACCAACTTAGAGTCAGTTAAGATGTTTCCAACTGCTCCAACGTCCAGCGGGCCCGAGACGAGACTTGATACTAGTACTTTAGAGGCTATGGGACTTCATGACTTCTTCTTGGAGGAAAACCCTTCCAGCTGGACCCCTTCAAGCTTTGCTTCTCATCCTCTAGGGAAATACTATCGAGATTACATCGGGGGCCTTATTTCCTTAAAAGCGAATGGCTCTACTGCAATAAGGACGTACTGCTCCGCCATCCTCAGATACCTTCAAAGCGATGCAGAAGGGCAGAATCTTGAGACTGAGGCCAAGAAGGCCATCGATTTTAAAAACGCTCTGCATGAAGAAAAGATTGAAGAACTCACCTTCAAGGCGAAGGCTTCAACCAACTTTTTGAAAACTCACCCCATCCCTCTGCAGGTTAACTTAACAACGGAAGGTACTGCTATTGCTGTTGGTAAGCGCCTCATCCGTGTCCTTACACGTCGTATTGTCATTATTGCTAACAGATTCCATAAACCGATACAGCATCTATAACATCTCTTAGTTCCTCATCTTTGGTATGTGCTGCTACAATGCTAATTGTTATTCCTGGCTAATGTGCTGCTTGTTATTACTATTATTAATGAGCGTTCCCTTGTACAGGAAAATGTGGATGATGTCAATGTCAAAGAAGCTATCGAAATACAGAGAATTCCACAATTGGGGAGATCTAAGTCATATGAAAAGCAATTGGAGGTCGAGTCAACCAATAAGTTCTATGACAATACGGCTACAGGCGGTTAGTTTTGTTGATTAAAGCTTTATGGCAAGCGATAGAAATATTTAGAGTATCGAACTGATCCTTTTTTGAATCTAGTCCACATTAGGTTTCTCAACCAAGTATCTGAATGGATGTTGAATGAAAAGGATGTACTTGCTATATTCAACGATTTCAAGCGGTCTCAAGAAACAAATATATATTCACTTTCGCGTGATGGTATTGCTGATTTAACCTCACGTAGTGATTTCATCGACACATTGGCTGATGATATTTTTAACCAAATTGTTAGTGAAGGCCTAGATATTGAACAAGATGACGACATCAGCGACACTCTATCTACCTTATTCCGAGGTCCACAGGCAAGCTTCGAAGATGCATTAGAGGAAGCAGTTAAGATAGATAGGAGCAATCGTGTTACAAGGTCAATCACAGCAGTCTTGGAGAATTTGTAAGTAGCATATTGTCATATTAACCTATCCTCCCTTGCAAATATTTTGTTAACAACATATATATTTCATACTATTCAGTTCAATGTTTTTTCCCCACCACGGTATAATGCCAAAAATGAATGAACGACAGTTTTTCTCTGAGATTGTGATACCATCGTTTCGCCATGCATTTCGACTGGTTGGAAAAGATATGGAGCTCTTTGAAATTAAAATACTAGGGTGTCAGAGAAGGAAGAATCTTCATAGGATCCCTATGCAAGAAAAGGCTGTACATGCCCACCAAGTAGATGCAACCGTGTCACACGATGGTCTACAGGTAGTATTGTTTGAGTGTTCACCGCCTGATGCTAAGGATGCTGACAAGGCATTCTCAGATCATTTCAAGCTGACCCGTGATCTTAAGGACACATGGATTTATAATGTTGAGGCTATGATACAGAACGGTCGCGAACCTACAAGAGGCCTAACAGTGTATGGAGTTCATATTGCAAGGAATAGGTTAGAGCTCTATGCTTTGGATTTTATGGGTTGCTTTCGACTCCACGAATGCACCACAATTACTCTCCCCACAAGGCTAAGTACGTTCCAAACCTGCTTTCAGGAACTGGTTCAAAAATCTTTTTGGTTCGCGAAGCAAGTTAGAGCTGAGTTGGACAAATGGGACTCTGCCCAAACTCTAGAGCAGTCAAAGAAAAGAAAGGCAGAGAGAGCCCTTAAACTACTTCCAAAAACAAATACAACTCCAACAAAGGGAAAAAAAGTTAAAATGTATCAAGGTGAAGGCGATCAACTCGGGTGAGAAAAAAAAAAAAAAAAAGCCAAAGTACTAAAGGATCTCAAGATGAAGACATACTGCTATCGTTGCACATGTTCGGATTATATGTATCCCTGTTCCAATAAACTAAAAGAACCTTGACCCTTTGTGTTTTTGTTATTGTCTGTATAACTATTGTTTGAAGCGATTCTGCATATTTTTGAGTGCCCACAAAGGTTTGTTCTCTAATGAGGTAGAGGAGTGACCATGAGAGAGGTCACGGATTGCTTAACTAATATAATTAATAAGCCTGCAATCCTATGGCGTGTACCATTTCGACTTTATTGGAAGTCATTCCTATTCTTCCGATCCCGAGTACAATCATATGAATAATGTCCCTTCCCATGAACCATCGGGTGAAAGATGTTGTGAATGATGAAGGACACGTTTACTTGCTACTACCTCCCTACTCCCTACTCCTCACTTATCTCATTGCAGTCGAATGGGTTTTTGGGAGCATCAAGGCACATGTACGGCGCCAAGGTCTTCATGGCACCAATGTAATAACTGTCTAGGACTTAAAAAGTCGAAATTTTCTCTCCGCGAATCGAGAACCTTTGGACCGCTTCACCAACAATCATCAAAAATGTGACACACGCCGCTGTAATTGAGCACGTTCTGATTTGTTTTGGTTAAAAATTTTAAAATTTTAAAATAAAAAAAAGTTCAGCTTGTCAAGCCAAATCCTTTCCAAAGCACGCGCGCTAATAATCATAAAATGATCTTGAATATCATTCGCCATGTCTAATAGGAAAGGGAAAAAAAAAAAAAAAAAAAAAAAAAAAAGGAGGGGGGGGGAGGGGTTTGCCGAAGCAAATCCCCTTTGTAATGCGTTTTTATCCTTCAAGTTGACTAAAGGAGTTCAGTACCAGATGAGAATATATTCGTCCGCTGGTGGTGAATAATCAGATTTCAAAAGTGAGTCTCCACCCTTTCATTTACATTACAGAGCTGATGAAGTAGCAGTAAATGATTAAAGTGTGGCGTATCCTACCTGATAAAATAAGGATTACCGAGGAATATAACAATCTCTGGGTTAAAAAAAAAAAAAAAAAAAAAAAAAAAAAGGCAGTAAGAATTCCATTAATCACAATTGAATTATCCTTAACCTGCTTAAAGCTATTGAGCTTACCACCAAAAAATAAAATAAAATAAAATAAAATAAAGGGCCTTTCAGTAGCTCCCCCCCCCCCCCCCCCCCCCCCTGTTATAGTTGTCTACAAAGGCATAACGGCCGCATCAAAAGAAGTTATTCACGAATCCTTTTTTTTTACTCTTGGGATTCAGCCTTATAGTTAGAGCGCATGACGCCGTTACTATCACAAATAATGAATAAAAAAATGAAGATGGCATCATGCGCATAAATCTTCATTATGTTAAAGGATATTATTGTGTCATTCATCCTAACATGCCTCTACCATTCCACTATATTTTCCTCAGTCTTGAAAACAGCCCTTTTTTTCATCTTTAGCGTCCATTAAAGTAGATTGGGCAAAATGCATTTGTAAGTTAAGGTCTAGGAGTAGGTAGCTTGACGCTGGAAGCGGTATTCACCTATAGACCATGGCCTTAAATGCGTGAAAGATCCAAAAAGTGTTCGTCCCTTCAATATTGTGTCTTTTTGTACATGTATGTACCAAAGCCCTATCATCTCCATCACTGCTCCCCCTCCCCCCCCCTCCCCCCACAGCTTTCTCGCTTTAGAATGATCATTTTTCCAAAAGTTAGCCTACTTGATGAAAAGAATGAAAGAAAAAAAAAAAGAAAAAAGAAAAAAGAAATTAGAGGCATGCATAGAGAGACAAGTTAATGCGTATAGTTTTTGTGTAACAATTATTGAGACGTCTGGTATTAAGGTTTTTTGTGGAGCATAATATTGCTTCATTGAAATTTATCATGTCAGATAAAACTACTTCATTACAAACAATCCACATCTAAGGATTTAAAAAAATGGGCGCCGCCATAGAAAGCCAAATTCCAACCTTTGCCCTTAAGCCCCTATGCTCCTATGCTCCTATGCTCCTATGCTCCTATGCTGTCTCCCCCTCAAATATCTACGAAAAGTACAATGGTTTCAACAGATGGAGGGTTGAACAGTAGCAAGGTCGGATGTTTTAATTTATTTTTATCAATCTTTAAAAAGCACAAGTATCAAGAGGTTATTGGTGAAGGAAAAAGAAAGCGGCGTGTTGAACGGTCAATTTTTTTTTTTTTTTTTTTTAAAAAAAAAAAAAAAAAAAAAAAAAGGAGTTATCACTTGTGATACAATGAAGTAAGTAACCCCTTGGGCTCGACCTTCATAATGTGCAAGCCAAAGGTCAGACTCGAACTCCATAATGTGCAAGACAAAGGTCAGATCAATAGACAAGACAAATATGAGCTGCAAATGATTCGCCAAGTGGCTGAAAAAAAAAAAAAAAAAAAAAAAAAATCGAATCTAATGCACCTTGTGGGTCCGTGTCGAGAATGTAGGCGTTGAATGAAAATAAAATTGTCTTCGCATACACGGCCTTTTGTTGGTGTGGTTTTTACTTTTACTGTCGACTTTTAAGAAAATAAAAAAAACGGGGAAATTCGATTGGACCAGAATTAGTTGTACCGTCTATTACTGCTTTCAAAAAGGAGAGCGGCGAGAAATGAGAAAACGCGTCTTGGATCAAAACACTTTACCTAGACGGCGTCAATCGATGCATCAAGGGGAAATAACCTGACTGCCGTCATCTCGAGGATATACCGCCGATGTCGAGAAGAGTAGCCGGGGCTTATTGGCTATAGGCCATCTGAACTGGAATCTGCTGTCCGATATTTATTGTAGCTACTGCTTACACTAGGACATTAGCTGAAGTTGGTTCTGTATAAATACCCTTCAATCCCTCTCTGTAATTTTCCCTCATCAGCATCTACAACTATCACTACCACAACAATCTCATTCTACAAAAACAACAGCAATAACCACAACAGCCATGCGTTTCTCTGCTCTTGCTCTTGCTCTCATCGCCGTTGCCACTGTTCAGGCCAACTGCAACCACCCAAGTGCTCCTCCAGACAATGGCGAGATTGCTCTGTACCGTGGCAAAGACTGCACTGGAATATATCTTAATGTTGGTGCCATGAACTCTTGCCAGAACTGGCCTGATTTCGATGCCTGCTCTGCCATCACCAGAAGAGGTGTGACCTGCGACATCTACAAGTCCGATGGATGCAGCAACGACTACATTGCGACAATTGACTCTTCTGGATACCGCAACTTCTGTGGCTGGTTCAAGGATAATGTCCAGAGTGTCCGATGCCGCGCGGCTTAAAATACGATATGAGAGAGCAGACCCACTTCTCTTTGATATATCGGTGTCATCGACCCATTGTAGCCCTTCTCCCTTTTTGGGTCAAGTTTTACAATAAGGACGATTTTAGCTATTGCAATTTACAAATGAAATAAAAGAAACTATGTTTGTCTATCTCTCAGAGTAACGGGGGTGCGATCATCGTAATGGGGCAAGAGAGGAGAAACTGGAGCTATAAAAGCCTTTTTTAAACACTACTATGGTATATAATTAAAATGGATCGCTTAAGTTTGTAAGCGCTGAAGTGTGCCAACAACACTAACTGCTTTACCAATCGCTCTTATTTTTGAGGCGCGGGCTTGCTAATATTGTGTTGTAATTTCTTCCACAGTTGACTTGTAAGATATGAGAGATGAGTAAGGTGCGGGTTGCGAAAAACTGGGTCTTAACCCGCCTTTGGCCATGGTGAGTTCTTTTCTCATCAAAGTCAAAGCACAATTTTGGGTTTGCTTGTTCTTGGGCTTTTCCTTCAAGAACTGACGCGTCAGCATCTTGGCATTTTTTTGTTAATCGCTCAAGGAGCAAAAAGTTGTATCGTGCCAAATCACAGTACACCTATCATTTAGTCAGCATTCGCGCGAGCAATGAAACATCCTAACGTTTAAACATTTACTCTTTTTTTTTTTTTTTTTTTTTTTTTTGCAACGCTTGCACATTTTATTAGTTCAATAGCAGTGAGCGTGGCCGATGCTCAATGTTTATGTACATGGCCAACTGTGAAAAGAACTCCATGAAGGAAGTTTTATACTTCAGCTTCACACTTAGAGACTGTTCACCGATGAGAGCTTGGGAGTACCAGCTGCAGGAGGAGAACTAAACTGGGTTTCAAGGAAGACCTTCATCATGCCAGCATGCTTCACATCAAACTTCTTGTAAACTTCAGGTGTTTCCTTCAGGGGGAATCTGTGGGTCAAAATGATGGTAGGGTCGAATCGGCCTGAAACAATATGTGAAAGGCATTCATCCCAGTGTCTTTGAATAGGTGCTTGGCCACATCCGATGAGTCGGAGACCCTTCTCCATGATGCCACCGATCAAAAGATGGTTCGTATACGCAGCATAGTCTGCAATGATAGCCATAGTGCCGAACTTCTTGGTGGAACGGATCATCTCGTTGACAACCTCGCTTGTGTCCGTCTCGAGCCCAACAGCTCGCTCAATCTTATGGACGATGGACTTTGCATATCGGAAGCCTGCGCAGTCAATTGAACGGTCCAAACCGTTGGGAACGAGCTCATTCACTCTGGAAGAAACATCGGTGTACTCGTCAAAGTTGATGATTTCGGCGCCCCATCGTTCCTTGGCGATATTAAGACGCTCTGGAACATTGTCGATGACGAGGATACGGGAGGCCTTGAAGACGTTACGAAGCCATTGGACAGCACACAAACCAATGGGTCCAAGACCCCAGACGCCGACAACATCCCCTTCTTTGACACCAGCCTCCCAAACGGCGTGATAGGATGTAGGAACAATATCCGAGAGATACAGTGCCTTTTCATCAGGCAGATTGTCAGGAACCTTGAGAAGGTTGTTATTGGCATAGAGGATACGGCAATACTCGGCTTGAGAACCTGAGAAGCCACCAACAAACTAAATTGAATAATGAAAATATTATTAAACTCAGTTATGATAAGATATAGCGTCAGCATCACATCACTTTATAGAAAACCGCAGCTTACGTGTGAGTAACCGACGACGCCTCCGGTGCGATGGCCGTAGAGCTTCTCCATTACGGAGCTGTTGTTGGTGCAGTCGCAGGCAGTGAATTGCTTCTTTTGGCAGAATTGACATTTGCCGCAGGCAACGTTGAATGCAGCAACAACACGATCGCCGGGCTTGACTGCAGTGACAGCACTTCCGACTTTCTCGACAATACCGATGCATTCATGACCAAGGATCTCGCCTGCCTTGAGCTGCATTATCTCTCCGTGGAAAAGATGGAGATCCGATCCACAAACTGTAGTACAATATAAATTAACATGTATTAATAAATTGCAAAAAAAAACTTCTCTCGTGTATTGCAGAGTGCAAACTAAAAGACTTTATCAGATCAAAAGCTCACCAGTGCTTCCGGTGACTCGCATAATGACATCCTCCTCGTCAGTGATATCGGGCTTGGGGACTCTCCTCATCTCGACTTTGTCCTTGCCTACCCAGCAGCAAGCAAGCATATCTGTGGAGGAAGAGACATTTTGTTTGTCTTCATTGGAGGCGTTCACGGGGACTTCTCCAAAGTGACGCTGTGCAACATTTGCAGCAATGTTTGTAGCCATTGTTGAAAGTATAGATGTTGATGATTGGAATAGGAGTATATAAATTTGCTTGAAGAGATTTTTTTTTTTTTTTTTTTTTTTTTTGTAGGAGCAATTTTGGTGTCTTTATTTATATTTCTACAGGACTGGACCATGAGCGAACTCTGCGATCATTGCCATTGTTCATTAATCAAATGCTAAGTCATTATGACCTATTTTTTTTTTTTTTTTTTGGACTCAATGAGTTCCCCCTCTCAGAAAGTTAGAAACATGACGAACTGCCATTGCTCAGAAAAAGCGTGCGAACATTGGCAATGATTCAGATTCGTCATTCGTTTGCATGGTTTTTTTTTTTTTTTTTTTGCAATCCTGCGATGGCTTTATTTCCTTTCTAGGTTACTCTCTCCTCCACGTCCAAAAGGTCAAGGGCGCTAATAACAGTCCGCCAATGATGCAAGCCAGGGTCGCAGTGAATTGCCAAATGGTCAAGAAAGTGTCTCCACCGGGCCAAACAAACTTGACAAACTCATTGAATTGATAGTGATCCTCTTGTTTAAATATGTAGTACCGTTTATCATCTGGGAATTGGGTTAAATGTAGAGCCGCGACAAAGTGCACATGCGATTTATAGAGAGGAACGAACCAGAGAGAGAAGACTTGAGAGATTTCGACATAGAGGACACGTTTCTTAAGGTCCTGAACTATACCAATGTAATATACATAACATCGACATAATACAAAGTAATAATAATAATAATAATAATCAGTTACATTCCATTACTGCGAACACGATTATAATCCGTGAAAGAATTGTTTTATCATCCCTCTGATCTCAATCCGTTATAAACATCAACAGCAACATTGACATACCAACAGAATGCACTTCAATTGCAATTTTAGGACTGAGGAACTTGTACCACCGATAAATCATCCACATGACCCATCTTGAATTAATAACTCCAAGTAAGGGGATGGATATGTCTGAAAAGCTGGAAACTCGACAAAAAGGATGTTGAAAGCTACTGTCTGGGGTAAAGTATGTCTCCAAGGTATGTTTCTGTTCCGAAGGTGTCCCTGTTGTCAGCATATAGATGACGGACGGAATCTCGCTTGCTATTGGAATGAAAAATAAATAAAGAGATAAAAAATTAAATAAAAGACTTAATAACAGTAATGAAGACTTAGGATGCATAAATGAATAACTGTAATGCCCGATAAAGGAGTTCATAGAATGTTTGTTCCCTCACCTGGGTCCTCCATTCTCCAAAAGGTGGTCTGTGCTTTGTCAGGGAAGAAAAAAAAAAAAAAAAAAAAAATCTGGGAAGGTTGAAAATTGTAGAGAGGAACAAAGCGCTGTTGGTCTTCTTTTATGTTTCTCATGCAGAGGGGGAATGAAGGAAAAAAGATTTCCAAATCATGGCCCATGGGTCTCTATCATATGTTTATCACGCCATAAATCATTATGACGTTTATTTTTTTTATTTTTTATTTTTATTTTTTATTTTTTATTTTTTATTTTTTATTTTTTATTTTTTATTTTTTATTTTTTATTTTTTATTTTTTATTTTTTATTTTTTATTTTTTATTTTTTATTTTTTATTTTTTATTTTTTATTTTTTATTTTTTATTTTTTATTTTAAAACAGAATGGAGTAAAGTAGTGCACAGACAGCACAGACATAAAAACAAACAAAAAGCAAAATAAAAAATAATTAAAATAAAAAATAATTAAAATAATAAATAAATAAAATATAATAAATAAATAAATAATACATACATACAACAACACTTCATTTATACTTGGTTATGGTCAATGCATCCTTTTTTATTTTTTATTTTTTATTTTTATTTACATGTACTTTGGTAATTCCATTGATTTCAAGAAAAAAGCTACGTCTTCTTTACAGCACAGCAACAGGTTGCAATGCAAAGAAGGAAATAAACTTTTCGTTCCTATTCATGTGCGAGTTGCTTGATATCTATCCTATTTACATTATTCAGTCTTCTTGATCTTCGCATTGTTTCGTCCCTCCAGCTCGAAGAAAATGCTTCCATCAAAGACCCGGCGGATGTCTTCTTTCTTCATCACTCCATCCTCTGGCCAAAGCAACAAATAAGTTGCAATCCCTTTGGGTTTGCAAAAATAAAATAAAATAAAATATAAAATATAAAACATAAAAAATGTGTCAATCTCAAAAAATCAAACAATGGGACAAGAAAAGAAAAAGAAAAAGAAAAAGAAAAAAAAAAAAAAACCAAACTTACATTCAAAGAAAGCACCAAACCATCCAATTGGGTCAAGAATCACTCTCTGACCCTTTAGCAGCAACCAAATATCATTCAATGTCAATCCATCCTGATCTGCTGGCGCATACTTTGCAAAAATATCCTCAAACCGTTGTGGCACAAACCGACCTTCTGTATCATACGTTCCAGTGTCACTTCCGTGCTTGTCTTTGTGAATACGCTCGGTATAAACACGGAAGAATGGATCAGGGATCCAGGTTGGGCAGGTAGGGTAGGAAAAATTGGCGTGGATAACAAACACAGAGAGGACGCAGAGGAAGACGTTGAAGCCAAGGGCATAAAAGCCACGGAAGGTATCAAGGGGCCAGATCACCCCATCATTGTCGCGATCAAAGAAACTGCAGTGCTGCTGCAGCACGGTCTGGTGTGAGTGCTTGGCCGCCCAGTTGTCCTTGGTGGTACCCTTAGGGCAGGAAGGAGTAGCAGCGATGCTTGCCCTTGCAGTACCTGGATCAGGAAAGCCTACACCAGGGCCATCTTGATTCTGTGCAAACGGTTTACGTTGAACAGTTACGGGCTGGTCGGAAATAAAAGTTTGAGATCGTGAGTTTGTCATTTTTTTTTTTTTTTTTTTTTGAGGATCTGTAATCTGTAATGGATCAAAAGGTTTGAAGGGAAGGGAAAGAAAATGAAAAAGCGAAAAGAAAAGCGGCAAGGAAATGTCTGTTGAAATATTCTGATCAATCCACTAGTCCACTAGTCACCGGTGATGTCGATGACAAGATCATTACATCGAAAGTTCATAATAATAAAAAATGAAAAATGGACGTACATATTCACATGTGCTTCGGAAAAGACATCCTTTTCAGGGACCAAACTATCTGTATTAACAGAATATCGGACCCTTTCCTCCGAGCAACAGAAAAACTATGACATGGCTCGTCCACCGCTGCGACAACACATTCATGCCAAACTCCAATCTCTATCCATTGGTTCAGACGCACTTCCTGAAACAAAGCGCGGATTCACACTCTTCAGGGATCAGTCGAAGCAGGCTCTTGCATTGCTTGATCCCTAATGACATGACTAGAAAGGCTTTAGGTTATTCAGATACACAATTATTACGCAGGCGAATCCGATTGATTTTATTAAGAGCCTCAATATCTTCCTTCATCCATCATCATTATTGCATAAATGTTCTGGATCCTTATCACAACCGCCACACCACTACATGCCACGAGTCATTTTATCAAACGGAGCACGTAATTGCTCCTCCCTGTTTTAACAATAGAGCTCCGTAATCTCGGAAAAAGAACGCACCTCACCGTACATCGATCCAATTAAATCCTGCTCATAAATATATTAGGCAATTAGACATTCATGTATATATATTTATTACGGCTTTTTTTTTTTTTTTTTTTTTTTTTTTTTTCTTTTTCACGGTCATCTTAGTCAGTAATATTTCTCGCTTCATATTCGCCGATCCAAAAGGATGAGGCATTCAAATCCCAATAAACTGTGGAGCATAACGACTCTCACCATTTTCTTAAGCTTGGGTGGCTGAACTATGCCCTTTTCGCATTTGGTTCCCCAGCCTTTGGAATTCATTCAGTTAATATAACTATCAATATTTTACTTTTTCCGCCCGTAAGGGTGCTATGGATGCTACTCATGAGACCAGAACACTGGACTCTTAGTAATCTAAAAACAATATTCATTCAGATTAATCCACTCAAAGTAAACCTTTTTTTTTTTTTTTTTTTTTTTTAAAAAAAGGTGGGGGTCAATTTCACCACATTACTACACTTTACAGCTACTTGCTATCCACATCCATGGCCACATTCTCTGCAGCATCTGGGCCTCCTTCATTTTCAGCTGCCATCTCTATATCCTTATTATGATCAGCTGCAGCTTCAATCTGCGGAATGACATCCGATGGAAGTTGCAGACTCTCCATGTATGCCTTTTGCTGTTGTAGCGCAAACTGTTGTTGCTCCTTCATCATTCCAAAAATATACTCTCCAAACTGTCCAACATTCTCAATCTCATAGTTGTTGCTACTTGATCCTGATGTTTCACCAGACTCGTCGTCCATGCCTTTACCCCCCTTATTACCCTTGTCCTTCTTCTTGGCGGCCGCTTTCTTCTTTTGCTTCTTCTTCTTGGCACCTTCTCCACCCTCAGCATCAGCATCAGCTTCAGCTTCCATGTCTTCATTATCGCCCTTTTCTGCCTTGGTATCGTTACTGATGAGCCGAGTCGTATTAGGATACATTTCTCCAGTCTTAAGCCATAGCTTTGTGGGACGTCGAAGGAGTCGTTTGAACGCTGGCTCAAGCTCATGACAATTCTCGAACAAACGCTGACGGCCAAAGATATACAGACCTAACCGGGCACGAGACAGCGCTACAATTAGACGACGCACATCACGAATATGTCCTACCGCTTTCGTCCTAACAAGTGACAGTAGCACATCTAAAAAATAAAAGCAATCATACCAAAGGGTTAATGTGGTGTAAATAAAACAATAGGTCAACACAAAAAAAAAACGTATACAAGCACGAGACTTTTACTGGAAATAGCATCCTCGCTTACAATCGTTTTGTTGGCCCTGATACTTGTCAACGGTTGTGACGCGTGCTGGCTTGCCAAAAATCGGATTCCAGCCGCACCGCCTGTCCAAAACATCACGTATCAGGTCTTTTTGACCATTGTACGTCGTCAAGATCGTGATCTTCTCCGCCGGATAACCCAGTAGACGCATGTATTGGTACACCGCTACAACATACTCAGCCTCTCCCAAGTTTTGGATAAAATGAGGCCTTGGTGAATTCTCTCCTTGACCTTTATAGTTCTCCACATTCACAAACTGATAATCGTACAGGAATCCTGGGTTGGCAAACTTGAATTCCTCCCTCTCTGTAATGTTGGGTAGGTCTCCCAGTTGCTTGTATCGCCACTTGTATAGATCGGCCATATCAGAGCGGGCACGACCTTGGGCATCCAGCTGGATTGTGGGGACACCCAGGCGGACAAAGCGAGTAAACATACTCTGCTCCATGTTGCCATACTGCTGGAAGGATGTGTTTTTAACCACAGGTGGTAACTGATTGTGATCACCAATTAGAATGACACGCTTTAACCGGTTGACTCCATCTTCTGGTTCCTGCAACAGCATAGGAATGAAGGTTTCCACCTCCAAAATCTGGGCTGCTTCTTCCATAACAATGTTGTCATACTTGAATCCAAGGTTGACAAGCTCTCGTCGTTTGAGAGCTGCATGTGTACAGGTCATGGCAATGATCTTGGCTTCCTTAGTTAACAAGTAGTTGGCGCGGTCATAGCTTGTGCGTAACAGTTCAAATGCTGAGACTTCCTCTAATTGCTCAAACAGCTTGCTCAGATGACGATGGCATCCTTGAGCAGCCTCCATAGCATCCTCGAACGTTGTCGTATCTGAAAATAAAGGTGTTGGTGCATTGCTGAAATAGGCACTGTATGGGAATAGATTCTTGACTAACTCCACTGTCCGCTCGCTCTCTTCCTTGCTGTACACTTGGCGCATAAATTCCCTCCACAAGGGTAGAACATGGTACGAGTTGAAGTAGCCAGCAGTCTCGCACGTTGATCCATGCTCACCGCCAATCGCTAACGACTGTGCCAAACGATCAACTTCTGCCAGGAGGTTCACACGTTTCTCCAAAAATGACGTCACACGACCGTACTTGCTGAAGCTCAACTCTGTATTCAATTCCTCTTCACCATGACCGAGACGTAGCAAATGACGCTCATCCACATCCAAAGCAATGATCTTTTCAAAAAGTTGGTTCAGAGCCTGATTAGAATGCGTGACCAAAAGCGTATGTTGATGGGGGAAGTTATTGTAGAGATTGGCAATGATCTGGACGGCTACATCTGTCTTTCCTGTTCCAGGAGGTCCCACGACCAACGTCAGTCCTGGATTGGTACCTGCTTTGATTGCCTCGACCTGCGTGGGAGTGAAGCGAATACGGTTTCTATTGGGAATATCTTCGGGATATGGACCCATATTTGGGGTCTTGTACGTGCTTACAACCAATTCATCCTGTGCCTGCTCTGGCTCATGGCTCGCACTGGCTTTCTTGACCTTCTCGTTACCTTTCCTCTTCTTGGATGTAGAAGCCGCAGTATCGATGGTCTCAGGGAACTTAACAACAAACGGTACGTCCAGCACACTCTCCTCTCCATCCCTTGCCTTAATCTTCATGCCTGGAAACGACTCTTTCAGATGATCCAGATCCAGAAACGTATCTCTGAAGTCAATTTCACGCACTTGCCGTTGTAATTGTGAATAATGAGCGCTGTTAGGGTTTCCATATCCCAAAAACACATCGTGAAGCCAATCGGGAACTATGAGTTCACTCTGCATCAAATCACGGATCGACTCCAACACTGGTTTAAAGTTGTTCTCCTGAGGTTTTCTGCGGAGTACAATGTTAAAAGTTTGATATACATCAGGACTGCCATTCTTCTTTGTATTCTCTTGATCAATCTTGTATTGATTGGCATCCAATGCGACTCGGAAGGTTCTTGTGTTGCCCGTACGATGATCCTGAATCAGTTGAGGGTCACTCGTCTTGTAATCAAAAGGCCGGCCATTTGGTCCAATCACACTCACTACCTCACATCCACGGACATACTTGAGACCATAATGTTTGCGAAAAGAGACCTTGTTGCCATCCCATTGCTCATCAATATCGTCATGCGCCTCAATAGTTAGCAGAAACAGGATATCGTGTTCACGGATTGCTTCCCATTCCGCCTGGATAGCATTTGTGTATTTTCTTACATTGAAAGTGACGTCTGCAGTGATCAAAGATAAGCGATCTTCGCCTAGATTTGGCTTCGCGAGCTCCACCATTCTGCAAAAGCAAACAATAAGGTAAAGTAAATAAGAAAGAAAGAAATAAAGAAATAAAGAAAAAAAAATATATGAGGTGGATCCTTAAATACCTCATTACACATATGCACATAAACTTACTTGAAGTAACTAATCGGAGCTGCGACTCTGGACCACCCAGTGAATACTGTTGCTCCATCAGGACCGGCTCTTGGAGCAAGTCTCATCACAGCATCTTCTATGTCTTGCCGAATTTCGTAACTGCTTTCAAGTCGGAACAAGTTGAAGTTTCGGAGAAGATAGTCGTGTAACGTCAAGAACTGGAGATTGAGTTTGGGTAAAGCCAATGGGCGATCTGTGTTGTACATCTCCTCTTTTACTGCTGCATCTTCAAACAATGCATTCTCGTCTGGATAGAGCGGCAAAGCGTTGATCCGCTCAATTTGGCTATGGCGTTTCTCAAACTGAAGAAGCAGCAGCTCCATCAACATGTGTCTTGAATGCTCTTTAGAAGAATCCGTGACGCTAACTGTCCGGATGTCCAATAATTGACAGAGCTGGACAAGTTGCTCCTGAGTAAGTTTTTCAAAGTGTGTTGAGAGTGAAGCTCGATCCTCGATTGCACGTAGATTGGTCATTGCCAAATCGATGAGTTCATCTTTAAAGTGTAAAAATGCAATACGCTACACAGAGGCATAGCAAATAAATCATTCAATCAATGTGCTTCAACTCTATAAAAAAAAAAAAAAAAAATGTGGAAAAAGCAATAGTTAATGAAACATTTCTTACCTGTAGTTTTGAGAGCTTTGAGGCATGAACCTCTGTCATCTCTTCTCTAGTTAATGCCAATCCGGTATGGCTGTTGATTTCAAAACCGACGTAAAAGGCAAGAATATCCAAGAGTTGCGAGAAAAGTGTCCCATTAACGTTATCCCTAGCAAGCTTCGAAAGTTTACATATAGCCACAATCTGATGATCGTCGATGAGGGTGTTGAAGTAACGTCTCGTTGGCAATTGCGCTTCCAGATCAATTAAGAACTCCATGAATCTCTCGCAATAAATAATTTTTTCTAATATAGATAATAAAGAATAGTCAGTATTCAAGCACCACGTCAATATTTACTTTCGGGGCTCGTCAAAATTATTATAAAAAAGGTACCTTGATCTCCTCCTTCAATAGATTCCAGAGTTCTAATAAAATACTTCATCATCTCACTAAGCCAAGTCCGCTCAAAAACGGCCTTTTTCTGCTGCTCCGAATCTATAAAAGAAATATACAAATATAAATACTTTTGCTCAATCTGTATTCTTCCATGAAACCATTGATTCATCCTGAACATCACAAGGATCCCATATAATGTCTATTCATACCCATGGCGTCAAACTTCTTTTCCAAGTGCTTCCAAAATTTGAGAAGTTGCGGATACTCTTTGAATTCAAGCTCTCTTTTAGTAGAAGAGACTAGGCAATGCCATGATGAGAGGGACACCAATCTATATGCATTGATAACGGGAAATTATAACACAGCTTCTTCATCAGAAGTCTGATAAAATATGGTGTAATTGAACAACAAGTATAATCTCTTTGTAGTCATTAAGGAAGTCATCACCATACCTCATACATTCCGATCTGATAAGAGGGTTTTCTAGACTCTGAAAGCAATTGATCATAAAGATCAGTAGGTAACGCCTCATCCTAAGATCGACCTCCTCTGAATCCTGTAGACAGAGCTTTAGCACCTCCTCGAAAAACGCTGAAAAGTGCTCTGGTGACTCATTGAATGTACCTACAACACATATACATATATACATATATAAGTGATCGAATTACCGGATACAGAGAGTCAAGCTTCTACCTTAAATATGGATTACAGGCGCTTACCCCATGCCTCGACTCTGCTTCTAAACTTTTCGTTAACCATCAGAACGATGGAAAGAACATGTACAGTAGAAGATTGATCCGGATCATAATGGCGCCACAAATACTATGGAGCATCGTTTGTGAAGAGGTTTATTTTTTGAATGATGCCATCTTATTGAGATTAGATATCTGGAAGACCTTCGGGGGGTTTTTTTTCCCTCTTCATCTAGACATCATTATTATCTATATAGTCATTGTCCTGTATGAAATATGCCTACCTTCTCTAAATACTGACTGATTTCGAGTAAAGTCAGTTTTGTGATGCTAAATTGAGTCCCGACTAGCTCTTCCTGATAAACGCGTTCAATGAGTTGTGCATCGTATTCCGCTAGTTCGTCTGATTTGTTCCATGCCTCGGCCAATGTTGCAACCGAGTCATTCTGCATGTCTTTGACAGTGGGTCGGTATACCACAGCATGAGCTCCACTTGATCCCTGGCCTTGAGAAGCATTCTGCGTCTGCGATTGTGATTGCTGCTGCTGATCTTCATGGCTTTGAGGAGTCTCCATTGCGGGCATTGTGTCAGTTCTATGCAGCTGCTCGTTCTGCGTCTTTCTTTAGGCGAATGACGAGGGGATCAAGAGTTGTATAATGATGTGGTTTCTCACCAAGTGGATAATTGTCAGTTAGAACACAAGAGATGCCATTAGGTTTTTTGTCGCTTGTCTGAGTGGCTTATGTGCGATGCCTCCCTTTTTCATGACAGCCTCCATGCTAGTTTTTAAGTCGAAAAAGAATTGGAGCATGCATCATGCTTTCTCATTCCATAATTTATCGTGATCCATCTCGTCAAGATCGCTTCTACCATCCTCTTGTGCTTCGTGATGGCTCATTGATAGATACATAATAGGGGCGGCTACCCTTAACAAATGTGCCTTTATCCTACACAAACATTCCAGCATTGCGCAACGGATTTAACTATCAGAATTTCACTTATTCGAGGATACATTTAGAACCGACCAGTTAATAACCTAGGCTATTAAGGACAGTCTGTTAGCCATCTTCTGAGGTAGATTTTATTTATTATTATTAAAAAAAACTCTCAATTGTCGTCCTGAGCAGGCCTCGCGGAGATGGTCTGGCCCAAATTGTACTCTTTTAGGTACAGCTCCGGTATATCACATATTCGAGAATTATTCACGGTCGTCTTCTATAGTCTTTGCTGCTTATCAGCAGAGTAATAAAATGCCTTTTGTTTCCAAAAAAAAAATAAAAAATAAAAAATAAAAAATAATAAAAAAAAAAGATAAGCATGCATACAATCGACGCGGGCATGCCGTCCATACACGCATGTGCTCTCATGGACGTAGAAAAAAGAGAAAAAAAGAAAGGAAAGAGAATAGGAACAATTGTTCCTAAGCAATGCAGATCACGGCTATCTGAGCTAACCATTCATGCTTGTTTGTTGTGATAAAAATAAAGTAATTTCGCGTCGCGTAGAGATGGGAGCAGGAAAATAAACGTGACAGGGATATGCACGCAACTGTTCGCAAGAATATAAACTAGACAGACATTAGAATATACCCCCATGCCCTTGAAGGATACCTCTTAAGGGGGAAAACAAAGCGAATTGGACCCGCATTTTATAATGCCCACTTGTATGCATGCATGCTTACTTTCTTCTCTCTTTTCTTTCTATTCTTTCTCCATCACTTCGCCACATACAACGTCACACAACCCCCACTGTTTTTTTTAAAAAAAAAAAACGTCGAATTCTTGAGTAAGAGACATGCTTCCACCTCCTCCTTGGAACTTACAAAAGACGTTTATTCACTTACAAAGCTCACTACTAAACACATGCTTTCAAGCAAAAATCACATTTTTCTTTGAAATGAATAGATTACAATCAAACAGAAATAAATAAAAAAAAGAAGAGCAATAGTCCATGTTTGGCAATACAGATACTCCACCACGAAGTGCACTCTTGCCAGCACAAGCCTTGAAGCTCTTTGATTTCTACATAAAGGGTTCTCGCTCTATAGACAACGAGAGCAGCGACATAGTGATGGAGCTATGTCTCGATGCTGACTCTGTGCTGTCTCGAATCCACAAGTCCAACAGAAAGTCACTTGCCTCAGTATCTTTAACCTCTTCAGCTTCCAATGAAGACCTAATGTTACGCAAAGGCATAGCCTCGGCCTATCATGAGCTTTCCCGTTTATTTGAACAGCTAGGTCACTCAGATGTCGCTCAAAGGCGTGGCAAGAAAGCTGAAAAATGGGGATATATCCAAGGGAGCAGCAGCAATGATAGCAATAACAGCAACAACAACAGCAACAAACAAGAAAACAGCGGACCTATCAGCAGCAAGTTAATTAGAACAGTTAAAACAGTGCAGGCCATTGCAACTATTTCAAAGGATGTTTTTAACCATGATGAACCTCCAACAGCCATCAGGTACAGCTTACCAGATGCTGGTTCTCACTTGAACGGCATCCACCAGCTCGTGTACTGTCTCAGTTTGCTTTCTAATGCTCATATACCAACAAATGATCTTGATGACCGTGAAAAAGAGTGGTGCCAGAGTATGCTGAACGATCAAGATGAATGTGATCGACTGCGAAAACTGGTATCGGATGTGATCGAGATGTTCATTAGTGACGAAATCAAGGTCGAAGCGACTGTCATGGAGGTTGCGACCCTGGCTCCGGTCCTCGATCAGGCTCAGTTTAGGACACTACTCATGACTTTGGTCAACGGAATCAACCAGAACATCACGTTGGAGACTCATTTGCTTGAAGGATTGGCTCAATTGATCCAACATGCCCCTCCTGGATATCTCGATTCGGATGACCTTGTCTCAATCCTCAACACTCTTAGCTCCCGCTTACAAAGCACTCATAGACAATCTTCCGACCATCTCTATCGTCTGTCCACTACAGTCTCACATGTTCTCGATGCCATGGTCAACAACCAAGTCAAAGGTTTAAAGCGAGAACAACTCCATGGACCACTTTCAGCATTCCTTCAGGAACTGAAAGCCAGCTCAGATCCTCAACTAGTCTACCAAGCTGCTTATGCCTTCCAAGCCTTGCAATATATACCTGACGACGAGTCAACAGTACAAGCCATGCTTCGACGGACATCAACAGTGCTTCGAGGAGTGTTTGGAGTAGTGAGTGCTGTTAAAGGCTTAGATCTGAATGCCTTCATGGATGAGATAAGCAACATTCAGGAAGGGCTTCCTCCTGTAACAGGTGCCATTGATATGAGTCTGAATGTATATACCAGTGTAACCTCACTATATGAGAGTGGATCGACATTCAGACAGTGTATGGAAGAAGGGCTTAGCTTCAGTCACAAGTCAGCATGGTACCCAGCATTGCGTGGAGCTGATGAACTAATTCAAAGAGGCGAGTTCACCAAGTTCAAGGATCTTGTGTGTGAAGCATCTTGTCGAAATGATGCAGCATTCCAATGGGGACTATGTCAGAGGCTGGGACAGATTGCAGCTGATACACAATGGACCATGGATACTCGAAAGGATGCCATCACACTCCTAGGTGAGATGTACAAGAATGACCAAGAGTGGGGTAATCATACACATATCAAGCAGTGGATCATAAGTATCCTTAGAGAGCTATCCTCTTTACCGCCGGAAGGTCTACAAGGTGCATATTTTTTATCTTTTTTTGTGAATATGCTTGGATGTTGGCGATGCTCAGTGTATGATGATTTATCTACTCACTCCATACACATACCATTATTCCTTCTCTTTTCAGCTGCAGATACTCTCTTGGATGAACTAGAGAAATATGGAGACCTTAAGAAACAAGAGCTATATAGGAATTGTCTTCAAGAGCCAATGGCTCAGCATCCCTTCATCATCACACATCCTCCACCTACATCTTCACGCTTGCTTAACCGTGCACAAAATAGGCCTAATGTTGAGGACAGTCTACGGCAACTAAAGAGACAGCGGATGGAGGTTGGAAACAACCAAGGATTCTACATCCAACAGTATGCCAAAGCAAGTCCTCAAGCAAGCGATGACAAGCTGTTCTTGCTGATGGATAAGGTGAAAGAGTTCTTGGATAGCGACCAGAAAGTGTTACTTGTCCAAGGTGATTCAGGAGCAGGCAAGTCTACATTCAATCGCACTCTGGAACGCACACTCTGGGAGACATATCAAAATAGACACGGTCGGATTCCATTGTTTATCAATCTCCCAGCCATCGACAAGCCAGAGGAGGATCTTGTAGCAAAGCAGCTGCGACACTACGATTTTACAGACTCACAGATCAAGGAGTTGAAGAAGAGTCGATCATTCATCCTGATCTGTGATGGATATGATGAGAGCATGCAGACCAGCAACCTCTATGTCGCCAACCAGCTGAATAAGTCTGGAGAGTGGAGAGCTCAAATGGTGATTAGCTGCCGCAGCGAATACCTTGGATTAGACTATCGAGATCGGTTCCAACCTATGGACCGCAATCATCAAGCAGACGATGGATTGTTTGAAGAGGCTGTGATCATGCCATTCTCTGAGACTCAGATCGATGACTATATCGAACAATATGTCGATGCCATGGATCCACTGTGGCATGTGGAGGACTACCAACGTGCGCTCAAACAGATCCCTAGTCTACATGGCCTTGTGAAGAACCCATTCATTCTATCGATGTCACTAGAAGTGCTCCCACGAATGGTGGATCCAGATCAAGGAGGCTCCAACACCAAGATCAAACGCGTCACACTGTATGACCAGTTCGTTGAGCAGTGGCTTGAGCGAGGCAAGAAGCGACTAAGCGATGCATTAGGACTGGAAGACAGAAGGATGTACCACAAGCTATTAGATGAAGGGTTTGCACAGAATGGGATCAGATATCTGACCGAGTTAGCCATAGCAATCTACAAACATCAAGATGGCAACCCAGTAGTTGACTACTCACCATCCAAGGATAAGGATACATGGAAAGAAGCGTACTTCAGCAAAGAGCATGGAAGGAACCTTCTACGGGAGGCTTCACCACTTACTCGTACAGGCAACCAGCACCGGTTTATGCATCGCTCGCTCCTGGAATACAGTCTAGTACGAGCGATCTTTGAGCCTCAGAAAGTAATGAGTGCTCCTGCGATCGATGAAGTAGCAAAGGCGACAACAGCAGGTTCTCGTCGGCAGAGCATCAGTTCAGTGTTTAGTTTCGAAGCCATAGATATTAAGGAGGACGAGCAAGAATTGGAAGAAGTGGAAGTTGATGAGGCGTCACCTTTAGTATGGAGAAGCTTTGTGGGTGAACCATCTATCCTTCAATTCTTAGAGGACCGTGTCCGCCTCGAATCGGTGTTTAAACAGCAGCTGTACACATATGTGGAGCTCTCGAAGAGCGATAGCAAGTGGCGGGTAGCAGCAGCCAATGCGATGACAATCTTGGTCCAAGCAGGCGAGTCATTCATCGAAGCAGACTTGCGAGGCATCCAGATCCCAGGAGCAAATCTCAGCCATGGTATATTTGAGTATGCTCAGCTACAAGGAGCAGATCTGAGGAAGGTCAACTTACGGAAGTGTTGGCTTCGTGAAGTAGATCTAAGTGGAGCAAAGATGGCGGGCGTACAGTTTGGAGAATGGCCGCTTCTCGGAGTTGGTGGCGAGGCATTGCAAGGGTCATACTCGCCTGATGGCGAGACACTCGCAGCTGTTATCAAAGATGACTCTGATAAATATTCAATTGTTGTCTATG